GGTGAGGGGGTGGGGGCAGAAAGTGGAAATGAAAGCAGACAACAGAACATTGCTTGAGAGCTGGAAAGGAGGTGAAAGGAGACAATTTTAGAGAAGAAAATGTTTCGGTCGCTACCCGGATTCGAACCCGGGACCTTTGAATGAGAGGCCAACACCTTAACCTCTAGGCCACGAGAGCCCCCTTTCTTCCTTTCAAAACACATGCAAAATGAAATCGTTATTTGCTTTTTTTCTATTCATCCCTTACTGCGACACGGGCGCACGAAAAAAACAAAACAGTGGTAGACCGGTACGGAGAAAGCCGCGCTTGTCCATGGTGGCAACTCAAACTACGGAAATCTGCCCTTTTATGCAAATGAGGTAGACTCGACTCAGAAATGTACTTTTGTTTATTTATTTATTTTTTTGAAGACGATCGAATCAGCTATCGTAATTTTGCGAAGTAACCTCGACAAAACCCTTCGAGGTAAAAAAATAATTGCATTTTAGTGACTCCCAATAACATATCAGCTGATTAAATGGGCGGTCGACTCCCAATAACCAGTTGACATTATGGGGAGTCGACTCCCAATAACGCCTTCCGTAACAGTAACTGAGTAACTCAGTAGATTTCTACTTGACGGTACCAGCAAAATAGAAAATTCAGTTCCCTTTACCACTTATACCAGCATTAGGTGTCGAGTTCTGCCAGTACCAGTACTGGTTCCGGGGCTGAGAACAGATACATCAGGGGTTCTGTACGTCTATTGTCTCTTTTTCATCCGTTCGATGATGATTTTTTAAAGATTTCATGGGGGAGGGTTTTTTTGGGGGGGCGTCTAAAAGCCGTCATCCCCTACTTATGGGATGCGTTGTATCAATCGATATCTCCGGTGTTTTTCAGTGAAAAGCTATGGAAAGCAGCGAGCCAATAGTTGATTCACTTGTTACATTTCGTAAAATATTTGGTGAAGTTATGTGTGATACTTATTTTTAGGTTTAACAGACTAAGTCAGTCACCCTGCAATACGACAGATGATTTTATTACAAATTGGGCACCATAAAATTGCGTAACCCTCAGACATTGTCATTTCAAAATATTGATAAAATAAAAACTATTCGGACAAGTAAGATGCAATTATCTTCCCACACAAACAAGTAAAAGCCTTAACTGGGAGTTCCACAACTTGATGTCCAGTGATCTGGCTAATGGGAAGAGAAAGAAATTATAGAGATTTAAAGTAAATTCAAAGTTCTGGGTTTTGATTGATGCTTCTTTTATGTTGAATTACAGTCCGATGTTTTTTAATTTATTTATTGTAATGGCATTTGAAATTTGCTAAAATTTGATACAATACATGTAGATCTGTTGGATGATCATCGAAATAATGACGCTTTTGTCTAAAATGCCTCCTAATTCTAGCTCGAAAAATCAGTTTAAAAAATGGACCAAACCAAGGCTAGATTTCGATCACAAAAATTGTTCATAACTTTTGAACGACTATAGATATTTGCACAGTTCATAAAGCATGATTATCTGGAAGGCAAGACCTTTTTCGAGCCAATTTTTGAAAATGTCCAAGAAATTTGAAATTTTCCCTGAACTGCCTAATTTTATGCATGTGACTGTTTGTGAACCTGTTTGTGAGTGCAGGCATACTATTGTATTATTATTTTTATGTGCACAGACGTCTGTTTAGGAGAGGATGTGTGAGAGAGTGTTTATGTCTGGGTGTGTGCATGTGCATGTGTGTTCATCATCTGTGTACGTGTGTGGTTGTGTGTACATGGTGAAACACCAAATATTGTACCAGGATTTGGTACAATAAAGATTAATGTTATATCTTATGTTATGTTATGTTATGTTATGTTATGTTATGTTATCTTATCTTATCTTATCTGTTATCTTATCATCTAAAATCTTATTTGATCTTTAGAATCAGTGTTTGAAAATAAGCAAAGTTGCTCTTGGTGAGCCAAATTTGATGCTATATCAAAACTTCCAACAAACATAATTATATGTTTTAATTAGTTGTTTATTTTGAGCTTGATTTCATGAATCAAGGTCACCTAGTGCTTTGTACTTACTGTGCATCTGATGTCACTGCTTCTACACACTGCAAAGTAACTGGAGCTTTAATTCCATGGACACATCACCCACTGCGCTAAACACTTGGTGTCGGCTCCTTCCCACAGCTGGTACCTCTTGGTGTTATTGGCACCTTCCCAGTCCCGGTACTGGAGGCCTGGTGCCAATACTGACACCACCTATGGTAGTTCTGGGAGTTTTGTAACTGGGTACCGATACATGCCCAGTCTTGGTGTATTGATAAAAGTGAACAAGCTATAAGAGACTCTAAGAGTGAGATAATGAATTTAAATAGTGACATAGTATCTCATTAGTTAACATGTCAGTTGTTATGAATTTTCATGAATAATGAATTCAAAACATCTTCTTTCCCGGTAAGTGTGATGGTTACATCTGATTATTAATATTGTATTTTATTAATGAATCAAACAGTAACACCCCTGTCAGAGTCACAGTATTTTAAGACTACAGTATAACACGGATAGCTCGCATTCGTTGGGATCAGCCTCGGTAGTTCCAGGGATCATTAGTTCCAGAGATATCTTACAAAGATAAAGAAGAAGAAAAAACGGGGCCGCAGGCACAGTTTGATAGATGCGTGATTTTGAGTCTTCTGTGTTCGATGTATCCATGTTATACTGTGTTTTGAAAAGACTATGCCATGCCATTTTCATCATTTTGTGACAGTCTGTTTAAAAAATAGTTGATGCCATTCTTTGCATGCAGTATACGCCAATGATTAATATGATAACATGCACACCACTCTTTTTGTTCATACAGTCGATCTTGTGTAAGACGGCCACACATTGTTGAGGAGAAAAGTGGCCATATAAGACAGGTGGCCGTCATAATAATATGCTGGACTGATCAAAATATAGAAAACAAACCAGTTACATCTGAGGTCCCAACTGGAGGTAGTTGCAAGCTTAGGAATGCTGTAAGGCCAATTAAAATGGTGTTTTTTTTTATTTTGAAAGGGGGAGGAGATTGGAAGGTTTTTGAGTGTTTTTGGCTGTTTCTTTTATTTTTCAAAATCATGGTGATGTAGAATTTTAAGTGTCAGAACTGAAGACGATGTAACAGTCTCTCACAGATCTATACAAATGAGTATCTTTTGCCAGCTGCCATCGAATGGAAGCTCTTTCAAGGTAAAGATTTAATAAACCCTTGCCCCGTTACCACTTTTTTTCCAGTGTTTGGGATCTTTGCTTCAGCCCTGATGGTACACGGTTAGTTGTTGCTGCAGGAAACCGAGTTCTCATCTACGATGCTACCGATGGTACCCTTGTGCAGCCTCTTAAAGGGCATAAGGAGACTGTTTTTTGTGTGGCTTATGCCACAGATGGGAAGAGATTTGCCTCTGGGTCTGCAGACAAAAGTGTCATCATTTGGACAAACAAGCTTGAAGGAATCCTGAAATATACGTGAGTAGTTACTTCTTTGAGGAAGTACAGCTTCGTCTGTCTATAAGGAATTAAAGTAGTCAGAGGGTAAATGCTTCTTTGCTCACTTCATGTGGCACTACATAGTTCAGTGTGGATTTACAAAAGAACTGAAACATTTAGGACAAAAATTTTGCTTCTTTAAAAAATGTCAAATTTTTAGTTAATTTTGACTAATATTTTTTCCACATGTTCTTGATTTTCCAAACATATAACAAAATGTGTCACTTGCTGCATTCAGCTTTTAAAGGGCATTGTGCAAAATCTCAATTTTCTCATAACTTAGTGTTTCTGACTCACCAACTTCTAATGGGTATAACTGAGAAGTAAATCAGATAGCTTAACGCTGATTTAACCTGCTTGTTGGGCTTGAGCTGGTCTTCGATTTGATAAAAGTGATATATAGTAAAAATGCGATATGTGACTCATTTGGTAAGACTTTTGTCTTGTGACACATACTGTATTGCCAAATTGTTGAACCTGCTACTTGTATGCTTGCTTTTTTGGGGAGTTTCCTTCTCATGTTCTTAAATTTTTTAGAGTTGATGAGTGCAGTTATGTGGTCAACCTGCATAGCGTAGATATTGTCATAGGGTCGTAGAATGTCTTGTTTCTGAAATTCATTGTTTATTTTCCTGAATGTGAGAACACTTTTGCTCCCCCCTGCCCTAAATATGAATGTGATGATTTATTCATGAGATGACATAATAAGATGCAACTTTTCATTGATTGTAAAGGTAACTGGTACAGAAGTTGACCTGTTCGTTTTTCTGTTGCATATCATTGCATAATATGAATCCTTTCTTTTCATCTATTTTGTTGAAACTTCCCACCTTAAAAATGTAATGTCGTTGAAATTGTCCAAGAGAGTCACCCACTGCTGAGGGGGAAACTAGTTGTCTTAGACAGGTGGACATTTTGGACAGTGTTATTATAATATAGAAAAAACTTAACGGGGAAGTGAGAAGTGGTTGTGTTGGCAGGTGATTGCCTTGGACAGGTGGCCATGAGCATGTTTGACTATGTCTGGTATGTTATCATCATGCAGAGATATAGTATTGTTATTTTTATAATTTTGTATAAATCGGAAAAATGCTATGTGCCTTTTCATGACACTGGCCGTGGTATTAAAAAAAATAAAAATATATAGCTTGGAAAAGGTTGCTGCTTTTACACCGTTTTATGGCATGGTAGTAGACGATCATGACAGGAATGCCCTGCCTAGTCAGTCAATTTGATTATGGCATAAGTATGATTCCAAGATCATTGTAGCATATTTAGAGTACTCACCATTCAAAAATGTAAAATAAAGTGTGCTTAGAAATTTCCTTTGGCTTTCTTCGGTTCAGACATAATGATGCTATCCAGTGCCTTGCTTACAATCCAGTGACTCATCAACTTGCAAGCTGTGCCGTAACGGATTTTGGTAAGTTTTTCTGATTGAAAAGGTTTGTTTTTAAAGTTTTGAAAGAGACCTTGCTTTTAATTTCTCTTCTACATGCCCCACAAAGGAATGTTAAAATAAGAGCCATCCCATGAAAGTTGAAACTGAGATGGCTCACGGAACCCTGCAATAATAAACCTGCTGAAAAAATTCTTAACAGCAATAAAGCCATTCTTTATTTATTAATTTGCTAGAAGCAGCCATTGTCTAATAGAAACCCCCTCATAATTTTTTCAGCAAGTCTTCATTGTGCATTTCATGTATCTCTTGGTGCTCATATGACCTTATGGCTACTTTGTGGAAGAGTCACAAGCCTCTCTCCACAGCAATGATAGATTGGACCCGAGCATTTCAGAATGGTATCAGTTTGAACACTCAAAATGTTTAATGTTTGTAATACTATTTGCTGCCGTGCAGTTTTACTTTCATCATTGGTACTGTGGGAGGAGGCTCTTAATGGGGCTCGATACTTACGGGACAACATCTTTAACTAAAGACAAACTGAAACAACTTTTGTCACAGGCAGTAAGTATGAGACAAAAGATAAATGTTCAACTGTTGACACACTCGATTACGTAATCCATTGCCATGGAAATGGCAGCCATCTTGAAAATTGGATAGACAATTTTTTTTCTCCACCTTTTCTACAGTTTTTAACTTTTTAAAATTCTCTAATTTGCCAAATATCACAAATAAACAGGTGCTTGCAGCTGGCTATTTTGATTTTTGATACTGTACTTAGAAAGTATCCAAAATTGTTCTCAAAGTTGGGGGTATTGAATTTGGTCTTTAAAAAATGTTTTTGGCTTGAAAAAAAAATTGCTGAAAAAATTCGAAAGGAAAACGTAGAAAACAAACCAGCCCACTACAAGAACAAACCATTTCTCTAACTACATGCGGAATTTCAAGTCTTTGTGTTGGAAAATTTGAAAATGGGGGAGAAAAACAAAACGGCATGTGCAAGCAAAAAGTGGTGAAAAAGTGTGTTTTGAGAAAAACAAGGTTCAACAGAAAACGTTAGTACACAACGTAGAACCCAGTAAAATCGAATTCTGTTAATGTTACTCACTCAGCGAATAGTGTCAATAAAATCTAGACTGAATGAGGGATCGGAAAACACCAAAAGTAAAAAGTGCTCAGAGTGAGTGAAAATCAGTCCCTGAGTCCCAAGACCCAACCCTTAAATATATTAGAATAGTTAGAATACTACATGTCATCTCAAGAAAATACAGGAATTATAAAATAAAAGTGGAGTAAGCAAATGGGTAGTCCTCCTTGTTGTAAATTAGGACCTGTGGTTGTCTGTTTTATTACTTTTTATAGATACAGTGGAAATTGTCAAGACAGCCACCCATTGTTGAAGAGGAAGGTGGTTGTCCAAAACAGACGGAACTCTTGGACATTATCATTATAATACCAACAAAAATATGCTTGGGGGAAAGTGCGAAGTGGTCTTTGGTACATGTGACTTGGTCATAATTAGTAATCATAACTTCTTTTGTATCTCTTTTTTTTGGTGTGCCTCAGGTCTGTGGTCTCCAGAACAGAAATCTGTAGCAAAACACAAAGTCAGCAGCCGCATCACCTGTTGTAGCTGGACGAATGATGGTCAATACTTGGCCCTGGGGCTCTATAATGGACTAGTCAGCATTAGAAATAAGGTAACAATTTTCTTTAATTTTCTTTTCTCTGCATTAAGTTTTGTTGAAGTTTTTCAATACAGGTCGAAATTGTGCAAGACGGCCATTCACTGTGAAAGGGGAAAGTGTTTATTTTTAGATAGGTAGACACTTTGGACAGTGGTAGTATAATGAAGAAAAAGCACAAGTGGGAAGTGGTTGTTTGCACAGTTGATTGTCTCCGACAGGTGGCCTTTAAAGCAGGTTCGACTGTAGTAATTTCTCGAAACACACTATGGCACATTATGTTCACTTCTTATCCAATGTAGTGAAGTTTCTGTCAATGTTCATATTTTTTAAATTTATGTGTTATGACCTCTAATATACTGATTGTTCTTCCCTGAAACATTCTCTGTCAAGTAAAAAGAACCTGTGTTCTTGCAATTTCTAGTACTGTGGTGTTTGCCTGACAACAGCCCCCATGGGAAGCAGGCCTTACCTGCTCTTAGACGGAGGTCGTTGCTAACTAGATTTTCAGTTTCCCACCTGTACACACTCACACAAGTCTTAATCGCAGGGTCTCATGATGTTGTTCATTCAGAAAGTGATAACATAGGCAGCATCAGTTTCCATGGTTTGATCAGATCTTTTTCTTTCAAGTGAGTTGATGCACTATCGTAGGGTAGTAAAGTTACACACAGTGGCCAAGACTCCCCCCCCCCCACCCCCCCAGCCCAGAGACTTGAAGGAAGGTGGGTCTTAGTGAGAGGGTGTAAGCTGAGCTTATGTACTCAACATGGAGTATTTTTGGCCCTAGCAGGTGTTGTGATGGGATTAACTTGAGTGGGAGGGATTGCAGACACATTAATATTATAGGTTACAGCCAGTCTCTGTATTCACAATTGTTTTTGAATCGCAAAAACAGATTTTTGTCAGACAATTCGTTGCAATGAAGGTTTCCTGTCAGAGTAAAAGGTAAGTGATAAAGGGGATTATTCATTTTTTTTAAACATTTCATTTTACGAGCTTAAGTTGCTGTTAGGAGGAGGTTGATGTTATCTGAACTGCTGTTAAGTGGACACCATTGTGTCTCCTCTTCTCCACCAAAAATGATTGCTTATTAGATTTTTGACAAAATTCTCCGACTGACGACATAACTATTATTATTGAAATGGAGCTGCTTCTTAATCGTTGCTTAATATTATGCGCAGGCAGGTGAAGAAAAGGTGAAGATTGAGCGGCCCCAAGCCAACATCGCTCCAGTTTGGTCTGTGTCTTGGAATCCCAACAGGTAATGATGGAGCTTGATTTTGTCCAATTTAAAGCTTCTGTGAAATAGGCCTATCTACCTTTCCCTGCATCTTTTGCTGACTTTCAGTTATTAGAATCTTACTGTTTTCTACAGGTCTTACGATGTACTTTTGCGTTAAAAAACATTCATCTTTGAGATCGGTTATGCAAAGTAGGAAAGCCTGATCTGTCAATGGTGGAATGAAATTCTTTTAAAATCAGTTCTTTCCAAAGACATACTTTTGAAAATGCCCAAGATCACTGCCCATTTTCGAGGAGAGAAGTGGTTGTCTTAGTCAGGTGGATGTCATGGACAATTTCATCATAATGTGAAAAGAATATTCCAGGGAGAAAATGGGAAGTTGTCGTTTGTATGCTTAATCGTCTTGCATAGGTGGCCGTTAGAGCAAGTTCGACTGTACGTTTCTCTTGCAGTGTCTGAAAAAATTAAAGTAACAATGTGACTCAAAGCGTACCCCTCTTTTACATAGCTTTACTTTTCTACTTACTGAATGCTAGCGTAGACATGCTAACTGGCTGTGGAAAAAAGAAATCCTGAACTTTTCACACCCCTTGAAATTGCGCATTTTGACATGGGGACTCAAGATTTGTCTAATACACTTACATCTTGTGTCAAGACTTTTTGTGTAAAGTGCACTAACTATGCGATAGTATTTCTGGATTTATCTGGAAATTTGGCACCTCTGTAGACCCAGGGTGTAGCGGTGTAAATCTAACTCTGAGGGAGTTGAGTTGAACAAGTCCATTAGGCTCAAGGAGCCAGAACAGAGAATGTCACGAGTCTTACTTTACAGCTATCTATAGACTGTTTTGCTTCTTTGTGAGTTTTTTCCCCCCTCAGTATTCTGTTTGAAGGGGAGGTAAGCACACTTGGCCTGTTTCAGAATGGTGGGTTTGGGTTGAATATAATAATAGTAACTGCAATTATATAGCGCATATCCACGCTCTACAGCTTGCTCCATGTGCCTTACAACTGTCATTACCCCAGCAGACCCTAGAACACTTAGAAACATTCTTGGCTTCCCAGGAAATGTACTGTGCAAGATGGAGGTTACGCGCTCCAAAAAACTAACAAATGGACAAAATCTTTTGCTGTCTTTTGTGGTGTGCTCATTCTCGCCTGGGTCAAATGTGGAAAATTCAAGTGAAGCGACCTTCCTAAGGATGCAATATCGGGCCCTGGGCCGGATTCAAACCCATGACCTTATGGTTGAAAGTCTGAGAGATCTGACCCTGTGTCACAAAAATAATCCCGTACTGTTAGGTGAGCAAAAGAAATGGAAGAGAAAAGGCAAGAGGCTCGACTTACAGCTATAGCAGAGACTCTAAATCCGAGTTACCATTTTGTGCTTTATCGTCAAAAAATTATTGTTAATGTAAAAGTAACCTCAATGCTAGCAGTTCAGTATTTTTGCTATACAGTCTATTTGAGAAGGTGTTTGAAGAAATTAAATGTCAGTTTGATCTTAGTAACATGTATCTTGGTCAATTGTAGCTCCTGACTTTTCTATCTGTTGCCTTGCCTGATCAACTAATATGCCACAGAAGGATGAAGGCTTCATTTTTACTAAAAATGTCACTATTTTATTGAGGAGAATATGATTATTTCATTTTTTTTTTCTTGCTGTCTTCTTTCAGAGATGAGCAGTATGATGTTTTAGCAATTGCTGACTGGGGCCAGAGGCTTTCTTTCTACCAGCTGTCTGGCAAGCAGGTATGTATGAAAGGAAGACATTTTATACATGGGCATGGGAAGCCCTTTACTGTAATTTCTTCTCTCTTTCTATGGTCCCTGATGACGATTTTTGGACAATAGTGACACATAACATTGCTACCCTTTCTAAGGGCTGCTCACTGCTGTTAACAGGCATTATTTTTGTTTTACTGACTCCCTTCAGCACTCCAGTGCTCAGCATAACCTAAACCAGCCATGAAAATTGGGGTTAAAAGGTCAGCCCAGGGGATTTAACCTGACTGAAAGATTCATGCTGAAAATGTTATTGCTGTATTTTTCAGCTTTATTTTTACCCTGTGACTACGCTCTACCTTCTACATCAACTGCAATTCATACCATATGCTTTGAATAGGCATCATTTAACATATTTTTTAGAGCAGTTGTCCCACTGAGTAAAGAAAAATATAGTAGAGATAACAAGACAAGAGAAAAGGATAAACATGTATATAAAAATTTATTATGTGGGGGTGGTGTCACAATTTATTTTTGTCTTTAGATTTAATCCTTTTTTGCCACTATATTTATTGACAGATTTTGTTTTGAGTCTTTAGGCCAGTATGATGAAATTGGGGGACTGAATTTGAGTGGGGTCCAAACTGTTCCGTTTCTTCCCAACTAAGTTTTCTTCTGAGACTGTTTTCTTGGTAGGGAATCAAAACCTCCATTATTGAATAACTTATGTTGTGTTAAGATTCAAATGAAAATAGTTTTGCGTAAAAGAGAAGTACAAAGTTGTTTGAAGATTTTGACGCAATGTGCATGTGTTTATCGAAAAACTCGCCAACTGTTATTTTGCTTTTATGTTCTTTGTTTGAAATTCTTGATCAGCGTGTATTGTTCTCAGCGCTTCTTTTATGGATGTGTGAAGTCATTTGCCCAATCTGTAGTTCTCATCTATGGTAGAAGGGCTCTCACGTGTGGTCTATTTTTTTCAGTCTCTTTTATAAGTTTCCAGGGCTGTTATTGGCCTTTTCTGTTCCTGTGACAATGTGGTTACCAAAGCCAACTGGCTGCAAACTCGTTCTCTCCTCTCACCCTCAGATAGGAAAAGACAGGACGCTAGGCTACGACCCCTGCTCTCTCAGCTGGTTCTCTAAGGGAGAGTATGTGGTTCTGGGCGGCGCCAACAAACAGTGCTGTCTACATACCAAAGAGGGTGTCAAGCTTGGGGTGATCGGAGAGCCGACCGGATGGGTGTGGAGCTGTGCCGTGAAGCCCGACTCAAACTACGTGGTAAGGGTCTCCCCTTGACTGAGCAAAAGTTCCTGTTCTTACAGGATTTTGACACTTGCTGCTGCTTATTGCAATTCTTGTTTCCTATCTAGTTACTTTTGAGGTGTAATGTTCAGACGTGCCACTCATCCCGATTTAATTGGTATATCCCGATTTTTTTCCAAAATCTCAAGCATTCCGATTTTCCCGATTTCGATTGCCAGTATCCTGATTTTTTGTCGTTGCGTCTGTTGCGTCCGATTCTTAGAAAAAAATATAAAAAGTTATGCAATCTCTTTTGCTTGGAAGCACCGATTTGATTTTTTATCGGCAGGAACTTGGAACGCTACTTTCTAAAGCATCTATGCCGAATCTAGTAGATGACTCATGCACGTTATTTCAACTAAAATCCGCGTAGTATCGATTTTGAATTTCGACATGGATATGCTCAAGATCTACTTTTGCTTATATAGCCCAGAATTCTCCGATGGTGTCCTGATTACTGTAACTATTATGACATAGGCCTAAGAATAATCTATTTGTTGTTCTGCCGTTCTTTAAAAGCAAACTTCGTCTGAGTTCTGGTTAGTCGGGCCCATCATCAAGACCTGTCAGTGGAACTTTCAAACGCTCATTCGAGTCACGTTACATGACCTTGTACGTGTGAGTAGCATGTGTGTTGGGGACCGTCGGCTGTCGGGGTCAACAAAGTTCATTCACACCGATCGCATTGGTCGAGGTGTTTTTCAGGACTTAACCAGTGTGGATGACCGGGGGGAGGGGGTGGGGGTATTGTTTTGACACTTGGGGTTGAAGTGCGCGCCATGATACATGTACTTATTGAGGGGAAAGGAATAAGAAAAAAATAAATAAATGAACAGCCTTGGCGCAATCTTTTTTTTTCGGGAGGATGGGGGGGGGGATGCGTCTTGCGTGTTCATGCGATGGAAGTCAAACGTTGTTACTGTATGAAAACGCGGGCTTTTTGCATGGATGATTAGAGTTATGTGTCAGCTATTTTCAAGACTACGAGAGTTTCGGTTTTACTGCAACCTGCGCTCTCCCAGTCTATCCAACTCTGACTCGAGTAATGCTGTCTTTTAGTTTTCCCTCTATTTAGAGGCCCAAACGTGAACTTATTCCTGCTAAAGTTTTCTCTTGCGTACTTGCCTCATAAAAGGGAACCAGGCCCCCCCCCCCCTTCCCCAGTACCCCTTATGACTGATTTGCCGTTGATCCCGATTTTTTTCTCCTGATCCTGATTTTTTTACTCTAAAATCTTGATTTTTAGATTTTATAGAGTGGCAGGTCTGAATGTTGTTTTAATTTTGTTGTTTTTTGTTTTGTTTTGTTTTTTGCTTCATTGTGAAGACCTGTGCCCTGAAGCCCGTTCTACCTGTAGATCTCTTAGATTCTCCTTCTAAATTTCATTTTTTTAAATGGGAAAAGTGGGGGTGGTTGACGGGTGCTCTGGTGTGGTTTGCTCTCTCTTTCCTATCAAACATCTATCGTCTGATCTCTCCTCCTTTCTTTTTTTGTGTTTGTTACTCTCTTGTAACGCCTCTAATCTTCGGCACTCATATGACCTTATTGTGTTGCAAGTGCTGTAAAACTCTTACTAAAACTAAAATGGAAAAAATTGCTGAACATTTAAGGTTTAGCAGTTTCTGCTTGGGCTTCGTTTATTTTATTTTGTAACACTAACATTATTATGTTTTATTTAATACTTGTCCCGATTAGAAACAGATTCTTCTGTTTTTGAATATTTTAGTCTTATTGCCTATTGGAATTCTTCTGTCTGCATTTTTTATAGTTTTCCTTAAAATTTTGTTTCTTGAAGTTTTCTGTGTCCTCTTGTGTGTCTTTTAGGGGAGATGGATATTCTTCTCATCTTTTTGCCTAATGCCATACCTTATATTTCATCGTAACACATAATATTTACTTTCTTTGTCTTTTTTGGGGGGTCCTGTACAAGTTACTATAACTCTTTTCATTCGTTTCAAAGTATTTGCTGAACAACCAGGTACGCAAGTGTTGTACAAAACTCATTTTGAGTCCTAAGTTTATGTTTTTCAATGTTTCTCAGACATGGGTATAGGTTCAGTTGTTCTCGTTATGTAAAATGCACCCTGCGTTTGAGAGAGAGAGAGGAGAGAGAAGAAAATTTCCTTCATTTTTATGTGCGTGGAGGGAGGGTTTGTGGCTGTGTGTTCCATGAGATTCCTCATTGTCTTTTGATCATTCTTTTTTCCTCACTGCTAGGCAATTGGCAGCGATGATGGCACCATCGCTCTGTACCAGCTGATATTTGGAACAGTTCACGGACTCTACAAAGACAGATATGCCTACAGAGACAATATGACTGATGTCATCATCCAGCACCTCATTACAGACCAAAAAGGTAAACAGACCTTGAAGTGCCACTTAACATTGCCGATTTGCAACTACATTTGAATCTTATCGTTCCATGGTAATACAGTCAAACTTGTCTAAGATGGCCACCTATTGTTGCGGAGAAAAGTGATTGTATTAGACAGGTGGATGTCTTGGACAATCTTCTTTTTTTTTTGAAGAGGACGGAAACCATCCACTAGAGATAATCAAGGCTAATTAAAGCCTCGTCAGTTTCTGTAGCATCTGTCCCGCTTTGTACTCAAGTTCAAGGCCGAAACAGTCAGAAACAGAAGCTACACTTTGATCTAAGCCAAAAGGTCGAGAGTCTTGGAGAGGGTCATTATAAAGCAGAAAGAACGCAAGGTGGGAAGAGGTTGTTTGTACAAGTGAATGTCTTGTGCAGGTGGCCATTAGAGCAGGTTCAACTGTATGTCTAAACCTGGAGCTAAATGGGCTTTTTAAGAACATTGTTTTGCACTTTTGTTCTTTTGCGTATTTTTGTGGAGCGGTGAGAAGTGAAATTATGACCTGTATTTTACTGGAAGTGGAAGACTTTTTTGCCAAGTTTGAAAGCACCATGTTTTAAGATTTTGTTGTACACCTTTCCTGAAAAGAAACCGAGGGCTTAAGTGGCTTTCTGTTTGTTTTCATTTTTAAATTTTAATTTCAGATGCCTTAAATTTGCAAGAATTTTCTGTGTGAGGGTGGGTAGCCGTTGTTTCCCTCTTTCTTTCTGTTATTTTCAACTGAATTCCGGGTAGAAGAATAGTTATGATTCTCCGCATTTTTTTTCTGTTCGACCCCATATTAGTTGTGTATATTAACTGTCTTATTGTTTGTGAACGCTACTTTATACATTTTAAATTATTGTTACAGAATCCCAGCAGCATCCCTGATAAGTGCTCCAGACATTGTCATTTTACAATTTGAACAATGATTTGTTCTTGTGTTAAGTCTAAAAGTATGAGCACGTGCTGTTCATATTTACATGAACTCTTTATATGCCCACCTCTCTACCTCCCTCCCTCTCTCTTACTTTTTTTTATTTTCTGTCTGTCTCTTCTCAATCGTTCACAAACAACTCATTCACACCACTCTGGGAGGCAGTTTAATCTATGAACAAATTTGTTTTAATTCTCTTATCTGTTGCCTCTACCCCCACCCCCCACACCCCACCCAGTGAGAATCAAATGCAGAGATTTGGTGAAGAAGATTGCTATCTACAGGAACAGACTTGCTGTAAGTTTATATGCAAATATTTCTCATTTGAATGACAATGTGCACAATTCACATTAGGCATATTTGTTTTTAAGTGCCATTTCTTTAGCTAAGGGCGTCCACAAAGACATACTTTATGGGAAATATATCTCTATAGGTCCTTCTTTGTATACAGTGTTTAGAAGCTATTTTTGGGGCTATTAGCTGTGACTTTTTTCCTCAGCTATAAACCGTGAGGCTTAAACAATGATGCGGCTTATGTGTGGATTTTCCTGATTGCTGGAGCATTACTCGCTCATCTAATCAAAGCTCTATGGTAACCATTCACGTTAACGCTCTATGTTAAAGTGTTGGCACCAAAGTGTTAACTGTTTGTGTTGTTACTGTCCAAACTGCTCCCATTCTAAATCAAAGCCACACACGTTTAAGCGTTCAGATCATTTTCTCAGGCACACGGTCTCATCATTCTGAAAATGTCAGAGGTAGCACTACTTGATCTGTTCTACTTCAACACTGAAGAAGAAGATTTCAGTGTATTCAGTAGACAGGATGATGATGATACTGAAAACATGATTTACATATATGTGTCACGACGTGGTGGAGTCAGGCGCTCGTCAATTTTTGGGCATGTGGGGTTATTGGTATCATTTTAAAACTGTTCATTTGCCCTCCTTTTGGTTAAAAAAATTGATCTATGTTGAATAAAAGTCGAGATATTTGCGATTGAAGGCGGTCAGGGTTGCCTGGTTTCAGAAGTAAAATTATCGGGAAAATGGCCGCCAAAGTTTGGTAACTTCCATAGCCTAAGAGTCCTTGGAAACTGAAAATTTACATCTTTTTGTGCCTTTCATTGATGTTTTTCAGTAAAATCCATGCTGAAATGTGTTTTTAAATTGACATAAAAGATGCTGACCGAAAAAAATTAGAAAAAATTACCCATCTCCAAAAAGATGCTGATTTCTTTGATTTCATTATTTTGACTCGCACCTGATTTCACCATGGTGTCTCACATATCTATGTTGTATTATCTGCTGTGGCTTATAAACCAGTGCAGCTTATTTGTGAAAAATTTGTGATTTTAGACAGTTTAGTAGGTGTGCTCAATAGACCGAACTTTGCCTTTGTCTATATTATGACATCTCTCGTCCTCCTTTTTTGTGTTTGTTACTCTCTTGTGACGCCTCTAATCTTAGGCACTTACATGGTCTTATTATGTTGCAAGTGCCGAAAACGCTAACTAAAACTAAACTAACACATGGAAAGTTTTTTTAATGTATATGCAGAAAACTTTCTGGTGATTGCCATTACAAGGAAGACCATTCACTTTTTGTAGAGAACATTCCCATACTTTTGTCTTTTGCGCAACTAATTTTATTTCCGTTTTCTCATTGCCCGCCTCCTAAATGATCTAAATTGTGTCGATGGGAGCATAAAAACATGGACATTAAAAAAAAGAAAATTAATTCACATTGCATCTTTCTGAACATATCTGAGCCTTCTCCCTGAGCTGTTGAAAACCATGACTTTTCCTTTAATTCATGGACATGTCATTCAAAATAGGTTCAACTGCCGGATCGTATTGTGGTCTATGAGCTGTACTCGGACGACGCTACTGACATGCACTATCGTGTGAAGGAAAAGATCAACAAAAAGTTTGACTGCAACTTGCTTGTGGTTTGCTCCCAGCACATTATCCTCTGTCAGGTAAGTGAAATAACATGATAACTGTTAACTGTGAATAGTTTTTTGAGAAATATTATCTTACGGATAATTTGTTTGTTTTTTCTTTCATCTTTAGTATTTTGATACAAGCCAAAAAGAAGATTGTGCGAGGGAGTGGATAGGATGCATATTTTGTAAGAAAGAATGTAAGTATATAGAATTGTATTTTGCAAAAACATTTTTTTGGTGCATTTTATTTGCTTGCAGGACAGAATGATATAAGAATTAGCCAACAATTACCACTTTGTATCGTAAGTATTTGTGTTGGATAAGTTGCTATCCTTGTTATGTCTCTTTCTTTGTGATCAGGAGAAGAGATTGCAATGCCTGTCTTTCTCTGGGGATAAAGAGAGGGAATGGGTGATGGAATCCATCATTCGGTACATCAAGGTCATTGGCGGCCCTGCTGGAAAGGAAGGTCTCCTTGTGGGCCTAAAAAATGGACAGGTGATTTGAAAAATAATATTCTGGGAAATGATAATGAACAATAACAGCAAGAAATAATGTTTTATGAAATATCTTGTCCATTTGTTTATCTCACTCACTCCTCTCATCCAGCCAAACTCTTAGGGATGTATGCTACCTGCTCTTCTCCACAAAACTCATTTCTCTGCACCTACCTTCTTTCAACTATATAAAAAAAATAAAGAACTGTTTTTTTCTTGATGTATTGTTGTGGGTTGTTAGGGGATGCTTTGGTGTGTTTTCTCCGTCTGTCCTATCAAACATCTATCATCCTTTTCTCTCCTTCTTTTTTGTGTTTGTTGCTCTGTTGTAACACCTCTATTCTTCAGCACTTATATGACCTAACCGTGTTGCAAGTGCCATTGAACTCCTTTGAAAACAATGGTGTAATTTTTAAAGTCATTTTTTTTGTGTTGACCCGTCTTTATCTATAACGTCTCTGTCTTTTTTGTTCCTCAGATATTGAAGATCTTCACAGACAACCCGTTCCCCATCCTGCTGCTGAAGCAGAGCACGTCTGTGAGGTGTCTGGACCTGAGCGCCTCTCGCAACAAACTGGCCGTGGTGGATGAGCAGAACACTTGCCTTGTGTACGACCTCACCACAAAAGAACTCTTGTTTCAGGTGCGTAGGCTTGCACTTTTTTTTCTGTTTTATGAGATAATGCTCATAGTTTGAGAAGTGTATGTTATTTTAGTAAAACACTCAGTTTACATAACGATTAGTTATACTATGAGCAAATTCCTTCTCAACAGCAGGCTCTATCACTTTAAAATCCATATTATTACCCCAGCAGACCTGATAGCATTCTGAAACTTCCTGGGAAGTATACAGTGCAAGCAGTCATTTTATGGGATCTAAAACACCAACATACTGACAAGATCTTTCTCTTTCTATGGCGGGGTACCCATTCACACCAGAATGAAGTGAGGAAAATTTGGGTGAAGCACCTTTCCCAAGGACACAACATCAGGCCTGAGGTTCGAACCTCCAAACCTGCAACCTCCTGATTAGGAGTCTGGTAGCCTAACCACTTGACTACCGATGCCATGCCATCTGTTGTATTCTCATGGGATTTTGCAGTGCAATGCTAATGAAGAAATGTAATTTCTAGAACATTTGTGAGGCATGCTGACAAAATGAGTTACTTCTCGCAGTCCATAAATGGAGATATTGGTCAAAAATCGACACTAGTGTCAAATTTGTAGATTTTCTATTGATGCTGTATTCTTTAAGTACAATAAGCCTTTTATTATTTCATACTTATAAATTGTAAAAATTTCACCTATAAGGGTGACATATCTTTTTCAATAGGTTTCGAATCCAAGAAGTAACTCATTTTGTCAGTACCTTTCACATTTGTTTCATATTTTTTTCATTTTAATCTGAGATACAATAGTAGTAGCCTCAGGTGACCTTTTTGTTAGTGTGCTGGTGTGTATGTAAATGTTCCATTTGGTCATTCATGTACGACTGACTAATTTCTGATTTACATTTGATCCTTTCAGGAAAGAAATGCCAACAGTGTAGCTTGGAACACTCAGTATGAAGACATGTTATGTTTCTCTGGTAATGGCATGCTCAACATCAAAGCTAGCAACTTTCCCGTTCATCAGCAAAAATTGCAGGTAAGATGAGTTATGATAAGGTGAAAAAGAATCTCATTATCTTGATATCAAAATTCTCTTTCTGTGCAGCCGTCTGTGATCATGATAAATGAGTACATTTACAATGTCAATAATGTATAATAAATATACATATATACAACTGCCTGCCTGACTGACTGCCTGACTCCTGCCTGCCTGCCTGCCTGCCTGCCTGCCTGCCTGCCTGCCTGCCTGCCTGCCTGTCTATCTGTCTGTCTGTCTGTCTGTCTGTCTGTCTGTCTGTCTGTCTGTCTGTCTGTCTGTCTGTCTGTCTGTCCGTCTGTCTGTCTGTCTGTCTGTCTGTCTGTGAATGTTTCCTTCTCTCTTTCTCTTTAAAGTCTGGGGTCATCCTGTTGGTATGATGATTTCTGGGTGTTTTGGGTTGGGAGGGGGGGGGGGGGGGAGTACCACTAATATGTCCTACTTGTTTTCTATCTCTCTGTTGCTCTGTTTGTCTTTCTTGCTTTTACCCTGCTCTAACTGGCTGTTATTGTGTTAATGTGCTTCTCTTTACTCAAACATAAGAAAACAATTTCACCAGGTTGTGATGGGTACCCTCGTGGTTTCTCGTTCAGGCCGCCTCTCAATGGCCACACCCATCTTCTTTGTTGATATTTTTAGACAGGTCAGAAAATTTTGATGCACACTTTGCAAATACAGGATGATTCAAGTGAGGGATTAGTGTTCCCCACTATGTTCTCCTGACAAATAATGTTCACAAATGTAGCTGGTTTGCGGGTGTTCTGCTGTGGTTTGCTCCTTCTTTCCTATCAAACATCTATAGTCTTTATCTCTCCTCCTTCTGTTTTATGTTTGTTACTCTATTGTAACTCTTCTAATCTTTGGCACTTATATGACCTTATTGTGTTGCAGGTACAGTAAAACTTTTACTAAAACTAAACTAAGTTCACAATTTTTTTCCTTTTTATGAGTGTATTCTTTGTCCTCCTTTCAGGGTTTTGTGGTGGGCTTCAGTGGCTCCAAGATCTTCTGCCTTCACGTGTACGCCATGTCGTCGGTGGACGTTCCACAGTCTGCTCCAATGTACCAGTACCTGGAGAAGAAAATGTTCAAGTGAGTTGGTGTGGGAATAAGTTTATCTCTTTATCTACAAGAGGGGATAAACCCACTATACTGGGGCCAACTTTCGGTAAGAAATCTACAAAAGACATATATGTTACTCAATTGGTCGGTAAATCAAAACAAATGAACTTATTTTGATTGATCTTCATCTAATGAAAGAACTCTCTGTAAAAGAGACCTGTTTTTGTTTTTTTGTCGTCAAAGTCATCATAAAGGGGTTTGCCGGAGATAAGGAGTTAAAGTAGTAGATTCGAACACTTTTCTTCCTGTTGGGGACTCAGGCTGTCCTCGCAAACATAGCTATGAATATGGAGAAAAAAGCAAAGTGTTATGCAGAGAACAGGGTTTTTTTGTGATTTATCTTGTCCATTTGTGTTTCTCACTCACTCCATCTCTCATTCAGCATTACCCTAGGGGTGTTTGCTTCCTGCTCCTTTAACCCTCTCCGTACGCCCTGGGGTCATTTTGTACCTCCGGGGTTGTATTCTTCTCCTAGTATGAAGATCTCTTTGAAACTTTCAGTATTTCTCAAAAAATTATTTTAACAGACTGCTATGCAAAGCGTACGGGTCAGATTAACGAGTAAATTTCCTCTTTGGAAGGTGGTGGCACAGAGTTCCCCACACCGATGGATACGACTGTAAAGCACGACGTACGGATAGGGTTAAGCAAAACTAACTTCTCTGCACCTCCCTTGTTTGACCTATGTAAAAATAGCTCTTGGGCTGGTATGGCACATGTATTCCTTGGTGTACTTTAAAGATGAGAAATAAGGTACTCGTCTGAGGTAGAGAAATGAGACACCTAAGAACACAATTACCATTTCTTTTGAACCTTTTATCAGGTAAATATTTTTTTCTTTGAAAATGTTCAAGTGAGTTGATTACAAAATAGATTTAATCTGGGTAATACGGAAAATGCAATACAATGGGACGTAGAAGTTTTTTATCAGTGGTCAAGAAATAAAACATCTTTAGACAGAACAGTCGTGATTATTATCTTTTACTGGACTAATAAATGTCTCATCTTTGAAAATTTTTCAAGTGAGTTGCATAAAAAATGGGTTTAAAACTGACAAATATGAAAAAAAATGCTTTTAGATCAGAAATAAAAGTCTTGTCAGTGTCAAAGAAATGAGACATTTATGAGCAAAACATTATTATTATTGTTATTTTATATCAGATTAACAAATGTTTTGACTTTGTATTGGCAGGGATGCGTACAAAGTGGCATGCCTAGGAGTGACCGAGGGAGACTGGGAAGCTCTGGCACATGATGCTCTTGAGGGACTCGACTTTGACATCGCTAAAAAAGCTTTCATCAGAATCAGAGATCTCCGGTACCTGGAACTGATACATGCTATTGAGGTCAGGACCTTTGGCTATTGTGGATGTTTACCTTGTATACAATGTTTTTGACAGGTTCATACTCTTCTGTTTTATAAGTTTACATTTTCATAACTAGTTATTTTCGTTGTAGGGATGTCATGAGCACATTTTTACATACTGGGAGGGTCTGCACCTCACCTCATCCCACTTCATCTCTGACTCATGGGAAGAAAGTGGAGGTGATGGATTGGACATACCTTCAGGGAGCTAAGCACTTGCATAGCAAAGAAAGTGTTGGGTGGAATCCATAGGGTAACAGATCTAGGGGAAGGCCATGTGGAGGGTGGAGAAAGGTAACACAGAATGATGCACAGAAAAGTAGAAAGACATGGAATAATGTCAAGAAACAAACCCAAGATACGAAAAAATGGAAAGTGTCAGTGGCCTATACCTTGATCCAGGGTGAGAAAGACAATGATGATGAGGGTGTGCACCTATTTGTGCGTGTGTGTCTGTGTGTGTGTCTGTGTGTGTGTGTGTGTAATTGTGTGTGTATGTTGTCCAAGCACCTACATGCATTTTGAACTGAAATGTTGTGAATGTCATAGTAAAACTGGTCTTCCTATAGGAGATCAATGAAGCTGTCTGTGTATTATTTTAAAATTTGTGCGTCAACGTCTTTCCATTGCTAGGAGCGCAAACGTCGTGGTGAGCAGGACAATATGGTGTTCCTAGGCGACGTCTATGCCTACCAGACCAGGTTTCAGGAAGCCTCCAAGCTGTACAAGAAGTCCAACCAGGAGCAGAAGGCTCTCAACATGTACACAGATCTCAGGATGTTCGACTCAGCCAAGGTAATGCTTTATGTTTCCGTAAGATTTTTACGGCACTTGCAACGCAATTAGATCTTATAAACGCCGAAGATTAGTAGTGAGACAAGAGAGTAACAAACTCAAAAAAGAAGTAGGAGAGATAAAGGTAGTACATGTTTGATAGGATAGAAGGAGCAAACCACACCAAAGCACCCGCCAACTACCCACATGCCAAGGTAAATAAAGCTATACAAGGATGAAAGGATGATTCTAATTAAGCAATATGGGTATATATATATATAGTGGACTAAGAGTTAGAGGTGACTATGTTCACATTCTTTGTGAGAAAAATGGATTTTTAAGGTGTGTGATAAACAACTCTTGAATAACGGGAACTGTGATTGTGGCAAATCTGCTGGATGGGTTGTTTGATATTTACAGTCTTGATGCAATATCGTTTGAATGCCTCTATGATTTTTGTTGTTGCATTTTTGAAAAAATTCTTGACCCACAATATATTTATAAAGGGTATAGATCTCTCTCTCTCTCTCTCTCTCTCTCTCTCTCTCTCTTTCTCTGTCTCTCTCTGTCTCTCTCTCTCTCTCTCTCTTTGTCTCTCTCTCTCTCTCTCTCTCTCTTTGTCTCTCTCTCTCTCTCTCTCTCTCTCTTTGTCTCTCTGTCTCTCTGTCTCTCTCTCTGTCTCTGTCTCTGTCTCTCTCTCTCTCTCTCTCTCTCTCTCTCTCTCTCTCTCTCTCTCTCTCTATCACGCGCACAAGCTGTACATGATCATGTTTAAAATAATATTTCTATGGTTGTCTTCCAGTCTTCATTAGTTCCTGCTTTTGAGCAAGAAAACAAATCTACATAAATGCAAATTTTAAAGAATTTTGTTTACGATAATTCCCTTCAACAGGAATTTCTGGGAGCTGGGGACGCACAGGACAAGAAGCTGCTCATAACCAAGCAGGCAGATTGGGCCAAGAGCAGCAACGAACCCCGGGCAGCTGCGGAGATGTACATCTCTGCCGGAGAGTATCTCAAGGCCGTTGATATCATCGGTGATCACGGATGGCCAGACATGTAAGGACACTGTCAGAACCTGCAATGAACTATTTAAATTGTCCTTCTTAAGTTTACTTCAACTCTTTGAGACTCTTTTGTTTGACTTCTGTGCTGTTCTCAACGCTATTTAAGATAATATCATCAGTGTCACAAGCAATCCACTTAAGTCCATTTGGGTACTTTTGAAGTCAAAGACAAAAAATCTAGTTTTTGTTGTGTTGTTCTTGTCCTGAATCATGAAAAGCATGAACATTGTAAGCCTTGACCAAAGCATTAAGCTGCATTTTGATGGTGTTGAAAGGTGCATCTTTAATAGAGCTTAGGAAGGGTGTAAAGATTGAAAATGTTCAAATTTGGACTTGAGTGGATTGCTTGTTGCAGCGGTTATATGGTGTGTTGCTTCCCGCTGGCAATTTGCAATGTTGATGCATATGTTAAGTACTTGGAATATAGAACAGGAAACTAAGGGTCATGAGGTGTATGCTTCATTTAGTGTGTACATATCTTTTTTAAATTGTGCTGTAAAGTGTCTTTTGTATATTTAGCTCCTTCCCAAAAAATGCATTCTGCTGGTTCAAATCTCTATTGTGTGCTGATTCCTCTTTTACCAAACAAGTTTTTTGTGTGTTCAAGATCTTGCATAGCTGGTAGAATAGAATAAGTTTGATTAAGAAAGGAAAATTGAGAAACTCTCGTTTTGAGACTTATGTTAGTTTCAGCTGAAGAAGAGAAAAAGAGAAAGTGTCTTACACTGATAGGGGAGAATAGGGGAAAGGGGAGGGAGGTGTGTGAGAGAGAGAGAGAGAGAGAAAGAGAGAGAGAGAGAGAGAGAGAGAGAGATTATTCTCAAACACTAAGCATTGGTGCTATTTTTATACCTTCTGAATGGTTTTAGTGAAGTACTTGGCATGTAATACATAAAATGTATGGAGTGACAAAACAAAGGAAAAAAGTTCTGTGGAATTTATTTTGAGTACCTTTAATAAGATCATATCATATTACTGTGTTGTTCAAGAAAATGTTTTTCCAAGACCTACGTAAGTTTCCGCTGTAAGTTCCTGAAAAGCGTTGAGATTGTGAAATGGAATGAAGTGTACCTCACTGCAGCCTGGAATTATTTCAATCGTATTAAAGCTTTACTTCGGAGAAGATACACAATTTTATAAAACCTCTTTACCTTTAAATCTATGTATCCTTGATGATGTGACTGCATGTTCCCAAAGAGCACTGAGATGGTAAAACAAAACGTTGCTAAGTTATTTGTATGTTTTTTATCAGAGGGGATGTTCAATTGTAAATGGTGTGAACTTCCAACAGAATGGCTCAAAATTTACATCAATGCCTTTCACCCCTGGCAGGGTATAGGCCACATACAAGCTCCTTCCATTTATCTCTGTCCTGAGCCATCCTTCCAAGCTCGTTCCAAGTGAGCTTCATATCTCTCATGTCCCTTTCCACGCATCTCCTCCATGTTTCCCGTGGCCTACCCCTGCCTCGTGCTCCATGTGGGTTCCACTGCAGTGACTGTCTTGTGATGCTTCCGCTGGGCTTTCTTAAGGTGTGTCCCATCCATTGCCACTTTCTTAGTCCTATTTCTACTTCTATATCCTTTTGTCCTGTCCTTTCCCACAGCTCTTCATTTCTTATTCTTTCCTGCCACTTAATTCTTAAAATACTCCTCATACATCTGTTGATGAAAGTCTGGACCTTATTTAGTACTGTCTTCGTTGTCTTCCAAGTTTCGCAGCCGCAGAGGAGCACAGACTTGGAGTTAAAAAGTCGAATCTTGGTGCGCAGTGAGATGTTGCTTGCTTTCCAGACTTTTGATAATTGCTTGAAGGCTGACCTTGCCTTGGCGGTTCTTGCTTTAACATCTGCCTCGGTTCCACCTTTACCATCGATGACACTTCCAAGGTAGGTAAAGGAGTCCACTTCTTCAAGGGGAGTGTCTTCCACTGTCACAGCAAGGTTTGAAACTTTATTCTAGTGCATGTAAAAGTTTTAAAAAATTGACATGCACTAGAATAAATTTTATCGTTACCCATTCAGGATGATTGACCTGGCCCGTAAAATCGACAAAGCTGACCGGGAGGCGTTGAGCAGATGTGCGCTGCACCTGGCTAAGATGGAACAGTTTGGCTACGCGGCAGAAGTCTACAGCAAGATGGGTGACCAAAAGGCTCTCATTGCCATGCGAGTGGAGGCGAAACACTGGGATGATGTATGTTGTTTTGTTTGTTTGCTTGTTTTTTTGTTGTTTTTTTTTTGTATTGATGGTTTTGTTTTGCTGTATTTAAGTTGATAATCTTTTGGGCCTCGGATATTTAGGAGGCACCTCCTTCTTTTTTTTTTTATTAGTGTTGCTTTTGTTTTGTTTTGTTTAAGTTTCTTTCGGACCTTGAGCATCCAGGAGGCACCAACTTCTTTGAGGATAATCATTCCTGAGGCTCAATTTGTCAGGACTGTTCGTGCTGAATTGTGTACTTCTCAATATACAAATGCAACATAGTCATACTCCACTAAAAAAAGTCTTTATTCGAAGAATTCACAAAACCATTAGGCAAAAAATTAGACATCCCGTGAAAGTAGAAAAGAGGCCTGGTATAGTGCTGAGCCAATGAAACTGGTTTCCTCAGAACATTGTCATGCTGCAGTGCAACTTCTTTTTTTTAAAATGTTGGTGTCTTTACATCCCCATCAACACAGTTTAGATAATTTTTAAGACAGGTTTCCGACCCTGCCTGTCAGCGCCAACCGGGGCTGAGAGGGATACAACTTTCCAGCAGAAAGTTCAAGATACTCGATAAAAATTTCTCTACAAGTTCATCTCTTCTCCTTCATGGCTGAATATAAATCCCTCCTCTAAGAACTTCCTTTCTCTTTCCTGGTGGATTTCACCTTAAGGCTTGGTTGGTAATATTTGTTTTTGGTATTCTCAACTAAGTTTGTGCAACCCATTTCCATTCTCTCTCTCTGATTTTTATATCAAATGTGGCATAGTGTGGTGGAATCAGGTGCTCGTCAATTTTTGGGCGTACGGGGTTATGGTATCATCTTAAAGCCTGTTCATTTTCCTTGCTTTTGGTGAAGAAAATATTGATCTATGTTGAATAGAAGTCATAATATTTGCGATTGAAGGAGGTGAGGGTCACCTGGTTTGAGAGGTAAGATTAACGTCAAAATTGCTGCCAAAGTTTCCATCGCTTGAGAGTCCTTGGAAACTGAAAATTTACAGTTTTTGTGTCTTTAATCCATGTTTTTCAGTCAAATCCTCACAGAAATATGTTTTTAAATGGATATAAAAGGTGTTGGGCCAAAAGAAGAAAAAAATGATTGCTCCACGGCCAAAAAAATGAGTTTTTAAATTTCATTATTTTGACGAGTGCTTGGTTTCACCACGATGCCTCACAAACATTTTTTGGACCCAGGCATTTACCCTAGTGGAGAAGCATCCAGAGCACAAAACCGATGTCTACGTCCCGTACGCTCAGTGGCTGGCGGAGAAGGATCGATTTGAGGAGGCACAACAAGGTCAGATTTAGTTGCCGATACAGTGTGCTCAGACTTTTTATGAATAAACAATTTATTGATGGGATTTATTCCCAACGAAAGTACAAGCCCACGAAAAGGAGTACTTCCATCTATTAACCAGTAATTTTAAGAGCACTTTTCTGTTTTATCAAGTCCTCACCTGTAGGGATGTCTATTTTGCTGAAAACGATTTATCACATTTGAGCCTTATTGTAAAATGTTTAACCTTTTAACCTGACCTTTGAAGAAAATCATGCCGCTCTGTGAACTGTTGCGAATGCAACTAACCTGTGTTTCGCACGCTCATATGACCTTAGGTACTACTCTTACTATATACTAAACTAAACTACTACTAAACTAAACATTTGAGCCATTACTTAAGTTTGTACCTCGGATGATTCAATTAATTATGATCATGTGCACTTTCTTAATAATATTTTTGTTATCTCTTTCTAATGTAAGTTAGATTTAATTTGTGTTAATACAATTTGCCCTGGATTACTAGCAATTCACCCTTTACAAGCTCTAGAACTCCCAGGCCTTGGGATGTTAATAGTTTACTGTGCCACCAAAAGTGATGTAACCCCACCCATCCCTCTGATGGGGTGGCACTCATGTACCACACTGTCTTTAGTGTGGAAATGCTATCTTTTCTCTCGACATGCTTTTAAAAAAAATTGTCTTTCTGACTGCTGTATTGACCAAGGGTCCAATCTAGCGTGGAAAAATAGACCTTGGAACCTGCATATATTTTATGGAGGGGAAGAGGGTTGCCTTCCAACTGACTGGTTTCTGTGTGGCAGTAGTTAAGTCTCTAAGAAAAGCATAAAAAGATGTCTATTAATTTTTAATTGACATGTATGTTAGAAAAACAAAGCCTTAGTGAAAATTCTTTATTGCTGAGGCAGTATGGTTCAGGGGTGGAACACTGTTTTGTGAGTCATGAAGTGCAAAATATTAATTGTATTTAGGTAAAAAAGGAAATGGGACCCTCCAACCCTGCTGCTGGGATTGATCGATTGCTATTAACTCTTTTCCTACCAGGCCAAAATCCACCATTGGCCCAGGGCTTTTCCCTGACCTATTTTTACGCCCCTACCCCACCAAAGGAAAATGTCAAAACATTCAACTAAACACACACAAACCATATCATATGGCCCATCAAACTGAAGGTTAAAAAATAATCTATCAAATGGCGATACAATGTTGAAGATTTATTCCAATTATATTACTTTGGCGTTTCTAAAAGTGATTATGCAATATCAAAAGTGTCATATGAAATCACCAATTTTGCAGCTTTGAAAGGTCATATCTAAAACAGTACAACAACAGCATCATTCAAACTCCCCAAGTAGGTTGCCTCAAGTAATGCGAAGAAATGCTGAAAGTTATGTATGTGTACCTAATATAGAAGTGAAAATAGGAGACATATATACTGAAGTCAGGGGAGTCCTTTTTTTCCCCTCATATTTACGTTTAGAAGGGGACAGAAAAGCTCTGAAATGGCTAAAAATCGTCTCTCAGTGCTATATTTTCTTTCGTATCTGCTAACAGGAAGTCTATTCTATTATTGTGAAAACGTGGATCGGCCGAGAACTTCGTGTCCTTTCATTACTGGATTGAAATAGATAGCGAACCACTCGAGCCATATTATGTGGCTCTCGGTACAGCGAGGCCAGGTCTGTGAGCCGCAAAATGCGGCTCATGGTAGGGAAAGTGTTAAGGGTATACGGTTTATATAAGCAATGGGAAACTCAGAAATACTTGATAAAATACACCCCCCACACCCCCAGTCTGAGAATTTAACTCTGATCATTTCTGCACAAGGCCAAAAATCTTAGTATTACAATGTAGTTTAAGTTGAGTATTTTTACAATTTTCTGTGTGTTTCTCCCCCAGCCTTCCACAAGGCTGGCCTCCAGGCTGAGGCTGTGAAGGTATTGGAACAGCTGACCCACAACGCGGTCGTCGAGTCCAGGTTCGACGATGCCGGTTACTACTTTTGGAAGCTGTCCATCCAGTGCTTGGATATAGCCAAAGGTTCTGATGCGTTCTACTACTCCCTTAATCTTTGGTGTCTGTTGCGTAACAGTTTCTACATCTAGAAAAGCTTATTTTACAGGAGAAAATAAAACGCTGCTAAACTTTGTCTCTTTATATCAGTCAGTTTATTAAACTGAAGTACTCTTTTCAGCCATTTGTTTGACTTGTAATGTAAAAGCTACTACAATGATGCAGAGTAGTATGTTCTTGATTTAGCCTCAGTATCTTGTTTTAAGACTTTCAGACTAGGCAAATTGGAATTAGGTTTTGTTATAGGTCGTGCAGCATGTCAACACTAAGTGTAAATGGTTGACAATAAAGCATGGAATTCACTGTCAAAGTTTGAAATGTTATGTCAATTAGATTTTATTTTAAACATTTCATCAATGAATAGTTCATTTCTTAATTCTAGAATATAAATATGTGTATTGTCGTGTAAATGGTTGTCATTAAAGCATGAAACGCGCTGTGAAAGTTTAAAATGTGTCTCAGTTAGATCTTGTAAAAACATTTCATTAATGAACATTTCGTTTTTCCTTGCCTGAATGTAAATAGATGTATTTGATAAGCATTATAGTCTGAGCCAAACCTAAAGTTTTGCTTTAATAATAGGGTAGTCAACTGTATAACAAATCACCTGTCATCTCCGGGTTGTTTCAAGTCCACTAAGTGCCACTGTTGGAACTTTCCTTAATTAATTAATTATAAAGGAGAACTTGGTTTACTAATGTTGTGAGATCAACTTTTGGTTTTCTTAGATTTTTTGCTTTCTGTCATTGCCTTTAGTTTCTCTGTTGAGCTACTAGACAGCAAGTTGCAGTAATTTGAATTGCTCTTTTTTCTCTGATGTCTTGAACTTCTTTTCTCCTCAGCATTAGAGCTAGAATTGTTCCAGTCTTAGAGATGAGAATATTTTTTCTTTCAAACAGTTGCCATTGGATGTGTGGTTTACTAAAGTATTCTAAAAGATAGGCTGTGCATACAATTTCGAATGGTATTACATTGCTAGCTTTGTTTTCATATTGGATATTTCATTTCATTTCCCTATGTTCACTTACAGAGGAACCAGAAAGGAGGACTGACATGTTGCATAAATTCCAGGATTTCCAAAAGAAAGCCGAGATGTATTATGTGTACCACACCATCAACAGACATGTTGTAAGTTGTAAAGCCCAGTTGTGTGTCAGAAGCTGTGTTATGAGTGTGATAGAGAAGTCACTTTTCTGGTCAGAAAAACTGTCACTCTAAAAAAATACTAACCCTGTCCGTACGTCGTGTTTTACTATCGTATCCACACGATGTGGGAAACTCTGTGCCACCACTTTCCAAAGAGGAAATTTACTCCTTAATCCGATCCATACACTTTGCATAGCAGTCTCTCAAAATGATTTTTTGAGAAATACTGAAAGTTTCAAAGATATCTTCATACTAGAAATATTAAAAAATGAGAAGAATACAACCCTATGGGTACAGTACAAAATGACCCCAGGGCATATGGATAGGGTTAATTCCAGGAAAAATGACTTTCTCGTGTGGCTCTGTAGGCTCAGGTTGTTTTAAGAGGGGCTATATGAAAACATGGATTAAATATAATCAAAATAATTATGTTGATAAAGTCGAACTTACTCTACAGACCACATGCGATCAGTATAAATGACCACTTCCTACTTCTCTGCTTGTGTTATTTCTATAATATAATTTGTTAATATATTCTATCTATGACGACCACTCTTCTTCTTAACTGTGATTGGCTGTTGTGGACAACTTCGACTGCATTTATGAGAAAATTCCCTTCTTTGTTACTGCTCTTGAATGCCTCCTAGAAGCATTAGCAGCAACGCCTATTGGTGCAAAGCCGGTTTCACAAATGAGCTGAACGTCTGCCTCCTCATTTATGTCTCCACGTATGTGACAGATTGTATCAAGGTTGATTTTTTGAGCGGTGTTGATTCAAATGGTCGGAATTTAGACCATCTGTACTCAAGCCATCTATCTGACTACAGCACTTGGTTGGTACTGCAGACCTGTTCTTTTGTGTTACTGTTCAAGGAACTGTATGTGTGGAGGGGGTTCCAGGGGGACTTTTAAAAAAACTAATTATAGTTCAGCCTGCGAATGAAATGAGTGGCTTTTACTGTGTCCTTAAAAGTATTTATATATATATGCATGTTGAGAGGGAAGTGATTGGTGTACAATTCTTTGTGAGTTATTTTCTTCCATATTGTGTCGATTATTTCAAATAATTGTTTTGAGATGAGTGAAATTTCTCATGCTCTCACCGTAATTTCTAACTAGGTGGAACCATTCACCAGTGTGTTGCCGGAGGGTTTGTTCAACATGTCTCGCTACCTGCTGCACAGTATTGACAAAGACATTCCTGAGGGCATTTCCAAGTCATATCCTTTCCACAATGATATTGTCATGTCGTATGTTGTCTTTTTAAGGATGTTGTAATTGAGGGTACGTTGGCGGAGCAGTTAATGCACTCGTCTCAGAAGCGGAAAGTCTGGGTTCGAGCCTTGGTTCGGACACAGATTTTTTTCGCCCCATCCTGACCACCCAGCAGTAATGGGTACCTGTCTTTGAGTTGGGGAAGTAAAGGCGGCGTGGAAAGGAACTGGCCACCCTACCACAATATGCCGAAGGCTTCTGAATTTGTTTCACTTACAAGGCAATCCCCAATGTCCGGATCGGATGCTGGAACTACTTTACTTTAATTCATCTTTTTTTTTTGGCGTTTGATGTTTATATATCTTCCCTATGTGAGTGGTTAGGGGGCATGGTGCCACTGGTAGGTCCAACTTCTTTTCTTTCTCTCTGTTGTTTATTTTTTCTGTGTCTTGTGCTTTTCTCCTTATACTGTATGACAGTGACAGTTATTACGTTGGTGTGCTTCTCTTTACTCAAATGCACAACCAAATATTTTCACTATCATAAATTTTTCTTTTTTCTTATTCTTAAGATGCACAGCTTTTCCCCTTTGGTCCAGTGTCATTAATCTATTTCAGCTGATTAAGACTTTCACAGCTTTACCATACTTCTGACATGTAGTTGGAGGGCACCACTGGTGGCTCCTACTTCTTGAATCTTCATTTTTCCTCTCTTCTTTCTGTCTATCTGTTTTGATTTATCCCAGCGTTAAATGACCGTTATACATATTGTGTTGATGTTCTTCTCTTTACTCAAACTTAAAAATGGATACTTGTCTGTTTCGGTTGTCTCATTCTAATTGGTACAAATAGTTGTACTGTCTGATGCTTGCCACTATCTTTCACATATTTTTCTGTCAATTGAAAACTGCGCTATTTTAATTTATTTGGTTTAAAACTTGGCTTTTGGTTAGGTTGCTAAAATGAGGTTTGTGTTTTGCATCATTGGTTGTGGCCAAAGATGTACACTTTATATTTTTGGAGTTTTACTACCTCAGCAAAATATGTGCATGTGAAGAGCTGTGTGAAAAAAACTGGGTGATGTCAGTGTTTGAACTTTTGCTTTTTTTCCTTTAGATAGCAAGAGGGAACTTTCATCTTTACTGCTAGGCCTATTTGTATTAGATCTATATCACAAATATAAAGTAACCATTGATTTTATACTGTTTTGATTTTTTTTTCCTTCAACAGAATAACATATTGTGTTAATCTGCTCTTCCTAAGTTTTTCACGTTTTGTTTGTAACTTATTTTGTTGCAAGTCCTTCATGTGTAGAATTAGTAGATATATATCCTTAACCAATCGCACAGCCACACTTTTCACACTGGCGAAACAAAGCAAGAACTTGGGAGCTTACAAACTGGCACGCACAGCGTATGAAAAGTTGCGTCTGCTACGCTTGCCGCAGAGATTTCAGGATTCTATAGACTTGGGATGCCTCACGATCCGTTCAAAGCCTTTTCACGATGCTGAGGTATGGTGATCGCACGAAGTTCAAGAACGTTACGTAATGTTCTAGGATAGTATAAGGTTAATAATAAGGTATAAATAAGGTGTTAAAATTATTTTCAGTTGGTATATAATGTGCTGTAAGAATCAAAAGTTTTAAAGTCTGCCTGTTGTGAAGTCCTGAGATCAGACCGGTGGATTTTAGGCCTGGTGAAAATTAGGTTCATTATATATGCATGTTCATAACAACATGGGACAACACCCATCCTTATGCAGCTTAGTAGCATCACACCACATGAGCTTTCCATGTGGGATGACTGGTTTTGTCCTTTCAGATATTGACGTAGCCATTATAGCGAGCACCCCCCCCCCCCCCCCCCCCCCCCCATTTTTTTCTCTCCAGTGCTTGAAAAAAGAAAAATGAATGTTGAATCTTTCTGTCTTCACTTTTATGACTTTGACGTTGATTTGGCTTTTAAAAAATTTCTTGTTCAGGAACTTCTCCCAATGTGCTACCGCTGCTCGACAACCAATCCCTTACTGAACAAAGCAGGCAGTCAGTGTGTCAACTGCAAGCAGCCATTTGTACCGTCTTTTGTAAATTTTGGTGAGTGTTGCGGTGAAAAGATCTGTTTTAGGTTTCTGGTTATGTCACGACGCGGTGGAATCAGACGTCCCAATTTTTGGGTATAAGGGGTTATTGTTATTGTATTAAAGCCTGTTCATTTGTCTTGCTTTTGGTGAAAAAAATACTAATCTGTCGTGAATATAAGTCGAGATATTTGTGATTGAAGGAGGTGGGGGTTGTCTGGTGTCACAGGTAAAATGAGCAAGAAAAGGGCGGCCAAAATTTGGTAACTTCCTAAGCTTGAAGGTCCTTAGAAACAGCATATTTACATTTTTTGTGCCTTTGATGAAAGTTTTTCATAAAAATGCAAACAGAAATGTGTTTTTGAATTGTCATAAAAGGTGTTGAGCCAAGAAAATAATTTTTTTTAGAAATTGCCCAATGGCCAGAAAAGTGGGAGTTTTTGTCATTTTGACAAGTACCTGATGTCACCACGATGCCTTACAAATATTAAACGGGTATCAACAGTGCTTCTGTTGTGTTTTGGGTTTTTTTATTAGGGCATTGAATTTGATGAGATAATGACATGTAAATTACATAATTACAAATTGTAAAAATGAAGATTGGGTTGTTATCACTGTTTGCTGTTGACTTCTAAGGTTTCCTGTTTTCCTTTGTCCAGAGGTTCTCCCGCTAGTGGAGTTTGTGTTGGAGGACGGCATCACGGACGAAGAGGCGGTGCACGTGCTGGACATGTCCATTCCCAAGCAGAAAAAGAAGTCTGGCCCCTGGTCAGAAACCAGGATGAACAGTATCCTCCTTGATAGTGATTGCTTTTAATAATTCCCGTTGTTTGCTCCTGCCAATCTTCTATTTTTTTTTCATATTATTATTGTTATTGTAAAAGGAAGTGTTTTGTGCCCCTCATCAACCTAATTTAGATCACTTAGGAGGCGGGCTGCTTGGAATCTTCCTATCAGGGCCAACTCAGGCTAAGTTGGATACAACATAACTCTTAGACAGACAGAGATAGATTTTTTTTTTTATATATATATTTCCCAGCTCTGGAATTGTGATCTTGTGTTTTCTGCATGCACTGATTAAAGAGCATAACTGCTTCTCCTCTGATGCTGGCATCTCTGTAATGTACTGTCTCGACTCTTCACTGGTGCAAGCAGATGATGTGAGTTTCTTTCCTTTCTGGGAATATTACATGAAGTATCTCCATACGTCTGCTCTTAAATTGTATTCCATTCATCCTCAATTGCCGACCTTCAGTGTCACCGAGATGAGGCTATGTCTGTGTCAGTACTACATATATAAGGAGCATCCATATTGATATAAGTGAGAAACAAAACAACGCTAACCTTAGGTTACAAACTGCCGTCAAGGAAAAGAGCTCATCAAAAGAAAAGCCCTTAAAAGTAACTGCTATTTAGTCGTCAGTTTTCATTAAATATTTGTAATTAATTTTTCTGGTTGCTGTACTTTTGACATTTTCAGTTTATGCAGCTAAGCTCTGCTCTCATTTCTGTTGACATTGGCAAAGGAGATTTTTTTCAAAATACAGAATAACACGGATAGCTCGATTTTCTTAGCAATCGGCCTCGATAGTGCAAGGGATCCGTAGTGCAAGGGATATCTTACAAATGATAAAGCTAAAAGAAAAAAAAAATGGGACCACAGGCACAGTTCGACGGATGTGTGATTTCAAGTCTTCTGTGTTCGACCTATCCATGTTATTCTGTAACTGTAAAGCACCTACCTCTTTGATAACTGGAGGTCATATTATCATAACAGCGAGATACAGGAGTTGGTAATGTATTTTAAATCGTAATAGATATCTTGTGTCCTCAACTTGGAGTGAGTTTTTGAAAACACAGCATAACTCTGTCTACACTCTCTGTCACTCAGATAAAAAAATCTTGTTGGCCTTCAAATTCAAATAAAACTATCAAAGGTAAGAAGATCAAGTTTGTGTCATAATACTCTGTAGTCAGAAAAAAAAGCAAAAAATCTTTTTCCCTAACTGTGCAAGATTTTCAGTCTTTGCGTTTGGGAGATGAGCCACAGGAAGAGGAGGATCCGTTCACAGCCAGACTGAAGTCTTACAGCGTAAGTTTTTCTTGTATTTTGAGATTTTTGACGGACCTCCATGCTAAGATTACTATGGTTTTTGCAAGTGGTTGGAGAGTGCCGCTAAATAAGGTTTAGTCTTTACTAATGTACACATGATATTCTAAGCAACGTTTGTTTCTGCAGTATCAAAGGAAATGCAGAAAATGTAAGGTGCGACCTGGTGCACTTCTTTCCTGTGTGTGTTACTCTAATCTTCGGCATTCGTATGACCTATATTTTGGTGTTGCAAGTGCTGTCAAAGTCTTCCTAAAGCTAAGATGACTGCTTGTCCCGTTGACAACGGATGATCATCTTGGACAAGTTTAACTACTTGTGCAAGTCAACGAAGACATCCTTCTACACTGATACATTAGCAGTGGTTACTATAGATCATTTCTTTTCTCTTCTAGGAAGGCGATGAGTTCCAACCGGTTGTGGTGAATAAACCAACCCTCCAGACCCTGTCCAGGTCAGATGTGTACATCCTGAAGTGGCCCAGACCGCTGCGCTATCAGTTCTTCAAGTCCTTGCTCCCCGATGTGTCCATCACTTTGTGCCCAACGTGTAATAAGGTTAGCTGTTCTGTTTAATTCTTTTCCAGGCTGGTTTATGGATTTTTGGAAAGAGGGAAAGACAGAGAGAGAGAGAGAGAGAGAGAGAGAGAGAGAGAGAGAGAGAGAGAGAGAGAGAGAGAGAGAGAGAGAGAGAGAGAGAGAGAGAGAGAGAGAGAGAGGGGGGGGGGGAAGGAGGGAGGGAGAGAAAGAGATGCACAGAGAGAGATGGAGGGTAAGAAAGAGACACAGAGAGAAAGGGACGCACAGAGAGGGGGGGGGGGGGGGGGGCAGGGTTCCCGTGGCCTCCTTGAATTCAAGGAGTCCTTAAAAACTGTTTGAATTTGCATTCAAGGAAAAATCTCCTTGAAAACTCCTTGAATTTGCATTCAAGGAAAAATGTCCTCGAAAACCCCATAAATTTTGCCAGATCAGACAGGAACACAGGGTAACTGCCAGACCCCGGGAATCCCAGGGGCCCCTGAGTTCATTTTTGCCGGTTGCGATTGTGATAAAATATTCATTCAGCTTTTCCCGACCCGAGAGTACGTTACCCGCACACAGATGGTTATGGCGGCAACTAGTGGAAGTGTATGTGCGATACGGAAGCTCGATCGGGAAAATCAAGATCTGCTTTCGCTTTCGTTACCGCCCAGAAATTTGCCGGTAGGGCCTATAATAGTCTGATAACGCCACATTTGTTATGACATGCAAGCTCTGCATTACAAACGCTGTGTCGTCATGAAAATAAATCATTTGTCCTGTGCTGTCGCTTGTGAAAAAAAAAAGAAAGGGAAAAAAATTATACAAGCTTCTTGTTGGGCTCGCCATTGTGATCGGTCATTGAACCTGTGCGTTTTCGTCACATCGTGAGTATCGGCGATGGTTGAGGTCACCAAAGTTCATGCAAAGTCTGAGCGCTGCGAAGTATTGGACTCGGGAATGTGGGTATTATTGATTTTTTTTTTAAAGATGCACGCAGGGGAGGGGGTGTGCGGGATGGGGTTGAAGGCAACACCGGATGACAATAACTGAACTTGGAAGCAGATTTTACTTTCCGGAATTTTGATTGCTATTAGATCTAAATCTAGATCTTGATCTCTCTGCAAAGAGCGCGTTGGTGCAGGCCTTGTGTGGAATCAGGATCTGTCTCACTCAAACCTTGTAAGCCGTGGGGTTTTTTTAAACTAAAGGGTTCCCGTTTCATTGGGCAGGTGATAGTAAATTATATGTATTGTACTATATTCTATATTTTAGCTTTCTGTTCAAGATTCGCAGATTTTCAGTGTCACTGCATCTTGCCCTCCCACAGTTAATTCTTACACCTCTCACACTGAATAGGTGTACTGAGCCTTTCATGTTATTACTGTGCTTTGAGTTTGAGCTGTGATTTTTGTCTTTCACGTTTATTATATAAACTTACTGGTTCTTGACGGTCGATATTCTGGTTCTAGACCTTTTCTCAGGCTCAAAGCAAGATTCATTTTTATATAGTTTATATAGGCGAATATGATGAGGGGAAAATATAAATAAGTATAAGAACAGACTGAAATACCTAAGTCACAGTATCCCAGTGCCACACTGACATGTAGTTGACTGGATATAATGTACCTACATGTGTGCCCGCGCGTGTGTGTACGTGTATTTATTATGTATAAAATATAAATGGAGCATGCACTGTCATTGTTATGTAACATGCCCCTGGAGAATGGTTGAGCCCACCTGGAAAATTAAGAAGCCAGGTTGGCAGTCACTCTGGGAACAGTTTTTGTTGGAAATCAAAACTATGATATGATTCCTTTCCGACAAGTGTAGGCCTATCGAAAATAGGCTTTCGTCGTGAATTTTTTGACCAAACCTCCTTGAATTAAAAAATTTTTTCCTTGAAACCTTGAATTTGATGGGAAGTTCATGGCAGAAACCCTTGGGGGGGAGGAAGGAGGGAGGGAGAGAAAAAGACGCTCAGAGAGAGACAGGGAAAGGAAGGGAGGGAGATAAAGAGACGCAGAGAGAAAGATACGAACAGAGAGAGAGAGAGACAGACGGACAGACAGAGAGGGGGAGAGGAGGTCGAGAGAAAAACAGAGAGAGATTGGGAGACAGACAAAAATATAATTGACTTATGCTTTCAAGGTGCTGTGGAAGAGGGCAAGGGTAATCAAAGAAGGCTTCTCTCCCAAATGAGAACTGGTGGAAAATCGCCCAAGCTGAGATCATATCTCCACAAAATTGTGCCAGCGGACAACCCAGATCCGTCCTGTCGAGCCTGCAGGGAGGAGGACGAAACTATGGACCATGTGTTCCTGAGATGTCCCGCCAGCTATCGTGCTAGAACCCGTCTCCTGGGACATTTCAGTAACCCACTTTCAGCACTTTTTAAGGACCCCTGGGCAAGTGTTGAGTTCCTGCGTGCTGTCAGCATCGCTGACCGTTTATGAAGCCACAGCGCCAGAAGAGAGAGAGAGAGAGAGAGAGAGAAAAAGAAGGGAGGGATAGTGAAGGACTTCTCAGTGGCTCATTCCATAGTTGGGATGTAAATATTATCACTACTGGCTTGATTTTTTTTGTCTTTTTGATATGACAACGATGGTTCTTTTCTTTGTTCCTCAGCTTTTCCACACTGACGACTTTGAGCAACAGTATCTTCAGCGAGGACATTGCCCCTTCTGCAGAGGAAAATTTGAAGACTAGATCTGTTTTTTTACAAATAAAAATTGTGACTAGAGTGTTATTCTTTTAGGAAAGGAATGACAAAGTGCAGCTATGCTTTTCCAGGCCGTCCATAGATTGACTGATGTGTGGAGCCCCAACAGCTTAGGTGGTGTAGTCCTTTGTATAGATGTATTTGGTAATATTTAAAATTGTTTTCCCACCGACCTGATTACAAGTCTTCAAAGTGTTTTTCGTACTTGCAAAGACGTTCTGGAAGTTCTCCACTCTGTACTGAAGAAAGGACTGTCCTCAGATTCAGTTCTCTCTTGTAGTCAGCAATGGAGTGCAGTGAATTTTGGAACTCTCTTTATACTTGTTGTTTACATAGTCAAAGCAAGAAGGTAGAGATCTGGCTGTGATGTTGCTTTGGTGATGGGAGTTGTTTATTAAGACTTATTTGTGGAAGTTAAGCAATGTTTTCAGCTCCAGACAAATGCAATAATAATGAAGCTTTTTGAGGTTTGTCATTTTCAATTTTTTTTTCTTGCAGTTTTACTTTTGACGAGCCAAATATTCTTCTCTCTTATTTTCTAAGGCCCAAGTTACAAATTTTGTTTAATGAGGATTTCTAAATGGTTTCCCATATTTGATATATTTAGATCTTGTTTTAAATTGTTATTTTGAGCAAATGGTTGGGAACCAGGTGTATTAATAATAATGATTAAGATAAAAAAATCAGTCCTACTTGCTCCCACTGGTTATTGCTGCACATAATCATAATGATGAACATTTACTTACACACTAAGAGACACTGCACAAAGGACATTACCATTATTTTTCCAGTAGAACGTATACCGGGTGTGTTTTGTATGGTATATTATTGCAGGACAAACTCCTCATAGATGTTCTTTATCTGTTATTGAGATTTGCGAGAGGGGTCGGAAAATGGAGTTCGGGTCGAAATGACGAGAGAGATACAGCATTATGAGAGGAATCTCCAGGAAAGAGTACATGGGATGAGTATGGCGATTGATTGTATAAAATTATTATTACTATTATAGTCTAGTCTTTTGGGCTGGCTTCTCTTTTCTGGTAGAGAGAAAATTTGTGTACAGTTCAAGGGTGGCTTAGGAGATTGTGTATATTTAATTCTGTGATGCTCAGGTTGTTATGTATGTAAATGTTTTTCACACTTTATGGCTTTATGAACAAATTTGTGTTTTATATAAAGTTGCATAAGCAGTGTGGCTTTCTACTTAATCTTTGTCATTTTTATCTGGTTGTTTTTGGGGGGATTTTTTATGAGGGCTTGGTTTACAACCTTGCTTGGAACCTTACCAAACACTCCTGCCTGGGGAGAAGAAAATATTATCATTACCACACTTATTTTTTAATTGTTTTTCTTTTGGTCACAACAGATATTTTCCCAGCACAGTTTTTTTAAAGTCGTTATTGTCTGTGGCCCAGCTGTTTTAAACACCCTTTGGAAGTTTGATATTATCCATATATGATATACAGCAGCCTTTCTGAATATTAAGACGACTAAGGCAAACACAGGTTAAAATTTTGTTGTGTTTTTTTTTTATTATTGAGAAAGTTCTTCTCACGTACTTTTCCCTGTTTCATACAATTGAGGTTTTTTTAGTGCAAAAGTTTTGTTTCTGACAGAAGTGATCTGGGTGTTTGGTTTTTTGAATTTTTATTAATTGAATCATGACAAAGGACTAGATCTATACTTTTATTTTTTTGTTTTGTTTTCCATTGTTTGTTTTTTAAAATAGAATCTTTTATTTATTTGTTTTGTTTTATTTTCTATCTTACTTTATTGAAGGAACATATATTGCCAGTCTCCTTATCTGGTGTTTTCATATGGTAGTGTTATAATTTTCCCCCTGCCAATATGATGAATGGAAAATGGAATTGTCAATACGTTATGAAAGAGGTTGTCCCCAATAGATCCAGTTCAAGAACACTGGAGTATGCTTTTGAGTATGACTGAGCCTTGATAAATAAAAGTCTGTGATATATGATGTTCATACTTTTTGTTGTTGTATTTGGGTAAACACTTGGAGAAGAGTCACGGAAATGAATATACAGAAAAGTGGGAAGACATGGAGTGACATCAAGCGACTAGCTCAGGATAGGGAAAGGTGGAAAGTGTTTGTTCGTGGCCTTTATCCTGATCTGAGGTGAAAAAGGTAATGATGATGATAATTTGGGTAAACAATTTGCTTTGGGCTGTGCATTACTGGTAGTGTATACATGTGTGGACCACATGGTTTAACAATAGGTAACCAAACTGTTAATATAAATATTTAGTATGAGATCCAATTTTCATCTGTAATCGTCACCCATGAGTGTGACCCCTCTGGGCAAGTAAAATAGATGAAATACTCTGTCTCACTGTCTGTCTTCATAATAATGAGAGTCAGCGGATATGCAGATACAGCACATTATCTCAATACAGTCAACTCTGCTTATGTAAAACTCACTTGAGTTTATCTTCAGTTAAGTTTACATCTTTATCTTGGGTCCCAGCCCCTCTTCTTCTTTACAGTCAATGGTTAAGTTGAACTTCAGATGAGTCTATCTTTTCTTCTTTCCCCTGACAATACCAACTCATCCGTAGTCGACTATTTAGCTTTGACTCACTATTGCCGTAGTCCATGGTTACAGAAGGAAAGGAATACCTTCAGCTGTCCAGTTGTTTCACTCAACTGCTTCAATAATGGCCACTGGTTGAAAGTGCAGAGTGCTTTTTTTTAAGTTTGTCTTTGAATGAAATTACCATTTCAAAATCTGGATGAGCAAGATGACGTGGGAGTTGGAGGTTACTGTTGGTTATTGTCAAATGAGTCGACTGGTCAGCAGCTGAAGACCAGACCGTCAAGTTACAACTAAGACCTGAGATATAATGAATTATAAATCTATGTGAAGCTGCACCCTCCCTACCAAATAGTTGCAATAATTGTACACAGTGCTTGTGGGCATGCAAGAAGCTCAGGTGACATTTGGCTACCTTAGAATTACAAAGTTCTATCTGACATTTTTGGCCGTTTCTGGTTACCAAGTTTAAGACCACGAGGTCAGATACAAAATGTTCTATCTGCTCTATCAAAATCGTAAGATTATTTGGAGTCGTTATCAAGATACATTCAAAGAATTGCATTCGAAAAAGCTTGACATGTTGTGAAACTCAAAATTTTTTCACTTCAAATTTCTCAAAACTAGGTACTGAGCAGATAGAACTTTGTAATTCTAAGGAAGCAAATTACATGGATGAAGTGAAATGTATAGGTCTTTGGTTTGTGTGTATGAATAGAAGGGGAAGGGGATGAGGATGCTGATCACAGGCTGGTCACTAGCATACAGGTCTAGAACGAAATGACTTGTGCAGCGTGGTTTAGCTTTAGTTAAGAAAGAGTTTAGTTTTAGTTTTAGTAAAAGTTTTACGGCACTTGCAACACAATAAGATCATATAAGTGCCAAAGATTAGAGGTGTTACAAGAGAGTAACTAACACAAAAAAAGGAGGAGAGATAAGGATGACAGATATTTGATAGCAAAGAAGCAAACCGCACCAGAGCACCCGCCAACCACCCAGAGTTTAACGGTGCTCACAACTACATAAGGTCATATGAGCGTGCAAAACACAAGTTGTTTGCATTCGTGAAAAGAGTAGTTTGATGGTCGGACCACCACAAATTTATTGACTATTCTTCAAGTACTGACGAGTATGGTTCTCTGGCCATGACCCATTATATTGCAAACCTTGTTATTTCATGCCACCATATTATTTATGGGAGTGAATAAAGAGAACCCCCCCCCCCCCCCCCCCCCCCCGGGCAGTGCCACTGACTGGTGTCTTTAGGCCATTCCCAAAGGGGGGATATTTCTCGTTCTAGTGCATAGTAGAATTGTAAATGGGCTGATCTAACAATGTCACGCTCATATCTGTGCCTGAACTACAACAGGGAACTGCTGCATTTTCTTTCCTAATCCTTACTATATTCATTTTCCTCTACTTCTTTTGTATGTTTGTCAAACTCTTGTGAGCCGCTATTTCCGGGGTGCCTTGATAGTCAAAGCAGACTTTGTGCTGTTGAAGCTAGAGAGGTGAGCAGAGTTAGTCCAATTCCCTGTGTAAGGACTTCTCTTTTGACATCCACCCATTGGCGCTCATATGACCTTATGCAGTTGCGAGTGCCGTAAAACCTCTACTAAAATTAATAAAGAGAAAAAACTGGAATCAAGATTTGTCTGTAGTTTGAGTTTCGTTACAGTGCTTTTGTAGGCATCAATTTTTAAAAGTAATTTTTTTTCAAATTCCCTCAAAATCAAAAACAGTTTTAACTGTACTATGATAAAGCAAGCTCTTTTTGTAACATGCTCACATGATCTCTACTTTTTATTGATTGAAATTGAAAACAGCAGGTGGTTTGTTTTTTAAAATTTGTTTCTACACCCTCATCAACACAAAATTAGAATATTTAGGTTGGCTTCTGAGCCAGTCTGTCAGGGCCAACCCGGGCTGAGATATTATATAGACAACACCCCAGCAGAAAGACCAAGACATTCGATAAAACTTTCACCCCACTCAGAAATAAAAATTGGGACTTGCGTGCAACAGCAAAGTGCCTAACCGCTACACCACGGTGCGACAGACACCAGCAAAAACAGTGGAGACAAGCTGCCTTTGGATTCTAGTTCTAGCAAAAAACAGCGGTAATCTTTCAAATCTTCTGAATACAGGACAAGATGTAGCCTATCTTTAAGGAGAAATGAGGTCTTTGAGTTTAGATATATAATTGTCAACATAAGTCACATTTTAGAGGTAAGCACCACAATTTTCCAACATGATCTTAACCCAGAAGTCCAGTTTTTCACAAACTGACATAACAGATTTTTGTTTTAGTAAGCGGATTTTTTTTACTGCATTTGCAACATAATTAGGTAATGTAAGTACCAAAGATTTAGAGGTGCTACAAGCAAGTAACAAACACAAAAAGGAGAAGAGATAAGGATGATAGATGTTTGGTGACAAAGGAGCAAACCACACCAAAGCACCTGCCCATAACTGAGTTAATGTTTCAGTTGGACAGATATATATATATATATATATGCAACAAGGGTGTCATAGTCTTGACTTAAAATATGACGTAGTGTCACAAAATGAGATGTTTATTGCATCTCACCAAATTCAATTTCCCACAGAAACTGATCAGTGTTGCCATACACTACACTTATCTCCATATTGGAAAGTTTTCACTTTGCAGTCCTTTCACAGGAAGGACTTGATGTGAACATGAGGACTACTAATGTTATTGTTTGGAGATATATTATTTGCCCTCAGACAATTAATCGTGTAAATTACTCACTCAGCTCAGCTATCTTATCTCTTGTTGAGCAAGTCTATATTATAAACATTAAGTGAAGTACTGTTCTCATATTTGCAAACAAGCAAAATCTTAATAAAATAACCAAAGTACTCTTTTATTTCATTTTCAAGCAGAAAATGCTGCAGAGTGAGTGACTTTGAATTTAAGGAAGCGACCCTTGTAATTGCTAGTTGTTTTCTGCAAAAACAGTCAGAAAATCTAAGACTAAATGCAACAAAATAGAATCCATTGCAATAAAACATACAGGACTTGAGAAAACTGCAGGAACAGAAGGCACTTGTAGGTGAATTATCTCTAACCTAATCTCAAATATAACGGTCTCCAGCTTCTCATTAAAAGAAGGTACCACTTTCAGGTAAGGAGAAAAATTACTACAAATTACAAAAAGAAACGATCATACTCATACTCAGCGACATATGAAACCTTTATTTATATTGCAAAATTCACCCACAGTATATGCCCTATAAAAAGCTTTGTACTTCCAGAAACTCTAAAATTTACTAAAATTATTAGTAAATAACTCAGAACATAACAGAAAAAGACGATAAGATTGGTACTGTATAAGTAGTAATTAGATCTTTATTACAACTTGGATGGTGATGTTCAGCGTTATGATACAACTTAGAGAGAAAAGCATTACAAATGATTAACCAAGAAGCATTCATCAGTTCTAACAATTTACAAGTAATTTGTACAATCTTACAAGCATTATCCAAAAAATGTAATAAAAAAATTGAGTAAGGGGAAAAACTGTATCTGAAGGAAGTAAAACACTGGTTTACTTGCAGCTTATCTAGCGCTTGACCGTGCTGAAAAAAAATCTTCAAAAAAGTACTGACAACAGACAAACAACCTTTTGCTAATAATAATGTGTAAAAATCTGGGCATGAGAAATCACTCTTGAAATCCACTTTTCAGTTCCCTAATAAACCAAAGCAAGTGTTCGAATGACAGCATAAACTTGAAATAAACATTTGTGTACTCTTTTCAAAAAGACAAGAAGTGGCATTGAGATTTGACAAATAAAAAATCGAATTCCAAAACTCTGAACAGAACCAAAGCCATCCACAGAATGAGAAAAGGTTTTAGAGGGAAGAGGACAGTTTCTGTTGTAGCCGCTGCTCCGAAATAATACCCTTGCACGTCAACAATCCAAAACTTTACAATATTTATATCACCGTAATCAGCAGAATCGTACGCATCACATGATACTAAGGGTAAAATTGTACCAGCCATAACAGAAAATTCTGAATTTGCTGAAATTTAAAAAAAAATAATTTTTGAATCAGAAATTGAAACAAAGAAATTTTTGCTTACCTTAAAAAATGCATCTTGGACATACGTTAGTATTATTTCCGGGCAACAGTCTGATTTATGATTTAAATTTAAAGTGGATATTTCGAAGCATTATGTACATGGCATTAAAAAGATAATAATATACTTTTTAAGTATTGCAATCGTCACCCTTGAATAATTAGGAGCTCCAGACCACCCTTACATGTTCGTAATGAGATACAATCCATTATAATTAACTTGACAGGCATCAGACGTCTCATCACATCCTTTTTCATTGCTGGTTATGGAAAGGTCAACTACAATATATACGTTCTAAATTTGTTAGTATTTTATGTATAGATACTGTTGAATCCAACATTTTCCGGAACTTCTAACAATACCTGGAGTCTGAATTTAGTACTTCAATTTATCCAATTTGTCAGGTTGTTGCTGTCACAGCATGAAATTTCTCTAATGACCAGTGATTGTTCATTGGCTCAGATGCCTACATGTGTGTCACTTACTTAAACAGAATGTAAAAGATTGAGAATGCTGTGCTTTCCACACGGAGTTATTACAATTTAGACGAATATACAATGTTATTTGGATGTGGCTGGACATACAAAAATAATTTTGTCAAACAAGGTTCAACACTTCAGCCCACAGAAATTGTATTCATACACTTAGAGTGGTAGGCAACATGACAGTAATTGTGGAAAGTGAGCCAACTTATCAGAATGTGACAAAACCATAATATTAGAATTTCATTCCTAATACAGTGCTTTGTGACAAAAATGGGGGAAAAAAACTTTTTTAATCATTAAACTTTCTATATTATAGCAAAAATTTCCAAATTTTATTCTCGATTTTTTCATTAACCAGTGCTCCATTTACACTCATAAATTCTTAATAATACCATAGTCAATCTCTAAACCAGATCTTGAAACGATTTTACTGCTGTCTCTACTGTGAATCTTCTATGCTTAGACTACTGTCGTTATCCAGAAACCATTGTCATACACACAGTGGATGTCAACCAAAACAAACATTTTGAAAATCTCACTTCCATCAACAAAAACTGCGCCTAAAGCAATACAAAATGCTTGTAACACCTGTAGCCTATTTCGTAGAGTAAGTAACACTGAACTAGATGTAAACACACTTTAATTAAACCTGGTATAAAACAGATTGGCCTAAATATTGGAAGAAACAATGAGAAATACCAATGAACGCCAACAGCATTCTTCCATGATTTTGGAATTTCCTAACTTTGTGAACCTCATTCCATGTTTAAAAAAGTTCAGTAGACCCTTTCCAGAAAATTTGCTTGGAATCCTATGTCTATTAAGGTAAGTGACAAAAAACTGTTCACTTTTCTACCAACTTTCAAACAGAATACACACAGCACAGAAGTCAGGATCTGTGCCTGTTTCACTTCCAAAGACCGTTGCATGCTCTATAAAAAGTTATGAACTTCTAGTAATTAGCTTAATTAAAGAAAGTTTTGTGCTCTGGCAATGTCAATACTTAAAAAAAAAACAACACATTTTAAAAAAGGGTAAAAAAAAAAAAAGATACATGACAGGTAATGTAAGTGGTGCAATGTATTAGTACACACCAACACTGTGTAGCTTATTAACTTTACAAAACATCACAACTGGGCTCGAAAAGTGTAAAACACAAAAATAACCCACATTCCTGTTGGTACCAATCTAAAACTGCAACAAATTACTCACATCAATGCCTTGTCTACATGGACTTCATCACTACAACAACTGTGATCTTCACATTGAACGGAAACAAGACTGGCATTTACTTGAGAGACTAGACACATAGTCGTAAAGCTTCCTGGTCATCTCCAAGTCTCAAAAAAAAGCACCAGACCTGTCGGCCATCATGTCTTTATTCTTTCAAATAGTGTTATAAATGAGAAGAAGCTACACTGCTGGACAGCATAATAAGTTTTGCGATTCTAAGGTCGGGGACACAACGGGTAGAGACTACGCCCAAGCTACAAACGTATAGCAGATGTGTAAGATTGCACAATATTTGGTCCCTTGCTACAAAGGGTGTACTGGTATGCCGAGAAGCACTGTTAAGGTATTATCAGGCCGACTTGTTCGGGTACTTTCATCCACTAGTCAATGAGAAACTGTGGAGAACCACTTTCCACTCTATGACAGGATAGAACTAGCTATACACAACTCATCAACGCCAACTTCTCAAATATCATGGGCGGTAAACAAATAGCAACCAACATTACATACATCGCACCATGTCCGACCTAAATGTTTCCTGTACAAAGCCTGGATGGAAAAGTTTCCTCCACAGGCAGCTCATAAATGCACCAAACATGAAAACACTGTTAAATCACACAAGCTTAGGCAAAGGGTGAGTGAGGAAATACTGGACACGAGACACAATGCAGACCCAGGTCTGATTGTGGTTAAAGTACTCATGATCTCTGGTAAAAAGAAAACATCAACTTTTGTCACAGAATACAGTTCCCTTTTATCGACCATGGACAATCTGACAATGAAACAACGAAGAAGGGGTAGCAATGAAAAACAGCAACCTAGATGAACTTAAAAGGCATACCCATTCTACTGAAGGAATCTTTTAGAAACAACAAGGGAAATCTCTAAATATGTGCACAAGAAATCTAAGTGAAGGAAAAATAACTGAAATATGTAAAGAACAATAAAATCATAGGAAAAAGTGACATACAACTCATCAGATGACAGAAACCCCTACAGAAATGGTACTTTTTCACTTGCCTTGGGGGCATTCAGCTGTAAAATTTTTTACAAGACTCCTGTGCATAACCTAGTGCAAGCAAAAAAGAAAAACAAAGACTTGTCCTAAGGTTTACAATCTAAACAAAAAGCATAGGACTCTTCATAAAATTGTCATAAACGAAAAAACCCCCAAAAAAACCCAAAACAAATGTCATCAATAAGGAAAGCAGCTTCAACACTTTAATGGGCCATTTAGCTATGCTTTGACTTCAAAGCACACTTGAAAATTTTAAACAAGTGCAGAAATCATTGGTGGTTAGGCACATTGTTTTGTGTTTACAATTTGGTGATGGTTCATTGAATGCAATTTTTCACTGACACTTTAGTGAGTCAAGTGGTAGACAAAAGAAGTTTCTTCCACATGTTCTCGAAATGGATTTCAACTGGTGAGGTCATCGGGGCAGACACAAACAATTCAAAATGGAAGAATCACCAATAACAGTACTTGTGAATGTTCATAAATAGCAAAGGTGGTCATAGTGTTCAATAGATGGGTATAGATGAAACAACAGCAATTCCACATAAATATTTATTTAAACCACAGAGAAATAGAGGAACTGACATTGACACAAAAATGACCCAGCCCCTAAAAACATCTTGAGTTCTCTCTGTAATTGTTGTCAAGTGCCATCACGGGAATGAGATAAATTAGAAAATATATCCATTCTGTCAACTGTCTACCATTGCAGCATCAGCTTCAACCTGAAACAACAATCATAGGAGGTGAGAAGATTTAACAAAACCAAAAAATATCTTCCATCAGAAAAAAACTTAATAAAGGAGAAATTATTTTATTAAAATAGAAGGAAAAATGGCACTCCCTTAAAAACATTTTTGTGACCAGAAAGACACACACACACAAAAAAAACCAAGAAGGAAAGAGAGGAAGGGGGTATCAATAAAAATACCATAATTCAAAGTTTTGGTTACAGAAAACAAAGGAGATATGTTATATACAAAACCAGCCCTGTGCGACGTAAATTGAGGGTAACAAAAACTATATACATACTTTTAATTTAGCATTTTAAGACCATCAAAAACTAGGTCATGAAAAAAAAACCAAAAGAAAAGAAAGACACATCCAACAGACTTAACTGAAAACACTATTTGGGACCGACATAATTTATAAGTTCAACCACATATTTACATAATGTCTAACATTTTATATACGAGTACAGAAACCCAAAATAGCAGACCAGCACCACTCTTAAGTTTGATCCAACTTGACTTGAAACAGTTTTCTTGGGATGTTTTTCTGTATGAAAACTTCAATGTCACACCTTATTTGAACAATTTTAATAAAGGATTCTGGTGCACTAGTTTTTAAAGATGACATTGTGCCCTTGAAGCACAGTCTTAATTTACGCTTCCATTTTGTCTGTCTAAAGTTCTCTTATTAATCCTAATTCTCCATTAATAAATGTTTTTGATTATTTTTTACAAATACTTTTACTTCCATTTTATCAAAACAAAGTTGTCATGAATCCGAGTAATTTTCTTGTTCTCAAATTTTGCTTGTAGCCGTCTGAACCAGATGTTTTCCATCCATACTTTGGACTATACAGGTTAAGAAAACAGAAAGAACTCAATTGAAAAAATTGTAACCTTTCTAAAATAGTAAAATAACAGACATTATCACCCACTGAAAACAATTTTTCGCATCAACAAAAATGGCAAATATACCATTTACACCTGAACCAACAAGTGCTCTTCCAACGAGACACTCAGCTTATTTTTTAGTAGACAGTGAACAATAATTATTTTTCAGTCTGACATGGCCTATTCTTGATAACAATGAAGTGACTCGCGTCAGTCCACTGCCAGAGACAATAAAGTGAATAGCTCTTAGACCTTTTTCCAGGGTTGAAAGCCCACAATGTTCTTTTCAAGTACAGGTAAAGGACCAGCCAAAGAAAAAGTAAAAGGAACAGGAAAAAGGAATGCTTTTATCTACTTCTACCTCTTAAATCTAGAGAAGAAACAAAGATCATCATTAAAGAGGGAAAAGGGGGATAGGAAATAAGATTAGTGTGGGGAAAAAACTGAAGGGAAACAATTGCAAATTCTGATTTGTTCTACAGTACTGACATGTACAGAATTGGTTAAAAACGTTCATATCTAAGGAAACAAGAAAAACTTTTTGTATTTGTAAATGACTATACAAAAGTTTATTATTGAATTTGAAGACCTTACTGACCAACTTTCTCCAAAAGAGGCCAAGTAGGAGAAAAAAATACCTGTGGTTTGTGAATCTAAATAAATCATTTGCTTTCATTTACCTCATTTAGCATCAATGTTTGCCTGTACTACTAATGCGTTCTCAGTAATTTATCAAACCTTCATTCTTTTCAGAACATATGGGAAGGAAATACAACATGCTTGTAGAATTAAAACCATCTTTTTATCAAGAAAGTACTGCCATACATTACATGTGTCACAACGGGGTGGAATTGGGCACTCGTCAATTTTTTGCCATGCACAGTTATTTGATATCACCTTAAAGTTTCTTTAGTATTGTCTTGCTTTAGATGAAAAAAAATACCCATCTAACTTGAATAGAAATCGAGACCAAAGAAGGTGTGGGGGGGGGGGGGGGGGGGGGGGGGGGGTGTTATCTGGTTTCAGAGGTAAAATTAATGAGAATACAGTCGCCAAACTTGGTGGCATCCATAGCTCGAGAGTCCTTGGAAACTGAAAGTTAACATTTTTTGTGCCTTTAATCAACATGTTTCAGTAAAATCCACACAGAAACTTGTTTTACATGGACATAACAGGTGTTGGGCCAAAAAACCAAAAATTTGATAAAAATTGCCAAACTGGTAAAAAAATGCTGTATTTAATAATTTTCATAAGCGCCTGATTTTAAATCCAGGCCTCAAATGTCCATTTTCAACTGAACTTGCTACAAAATAGGGAGCAGGCACAGGACTTCGAAGAGTGAATGGACATTATTGTACCCTTTTCAAGAAAACTGAAATAAAAAACCAAAGGCGAGGCATCGCCTTTCTTTACAAAATTGGTCTATTCACATGGCTGTGTAACGAAGTCAAAGGAAAAGTGAAAAAAAATACTCACCAGCCCCGATTTAAACCTCATACAGACAAGTATTAATCAAGCTAGTAACCAACTTCGTTACAGATATAGTTCTGACAATTTCAAACATGCATTACCTCAAACAAGATACATACCTAATCAGATCTCAAAGCAAGGCACACCCACTCTTTTTCTTTTTTTGTCGACCGGGTCCGGGATTTTTCTTGTTTATCTGGCGCACTAAGTCATAGAATATCTGTGAAGGGGTAAGAAAATTTTAAGAACAAAGGCTAGTGCCCGCGACATTTTTTGAAGGCTAAGTTAATTAGCAAAGCAACCTTGTAGGATGTTTTTTGACTATGGTACTCAGAATCGCTCTTAAATTTAACAAAAGGCAAAAACAAACAATGAAAAAAAAGGACAATGCAGTATTCACACCACTGCCAGACACTGCACACATAAAAAGTGTTACGTCACTCGCTGCCGGCGCCTCAGCTCAGAAAAAGCTCCTGCCTGCCAGTTTTTTTTGACCTTTTTCAAAATCCAGTTACTCTGTACCTATTCATGTTAGATTTATGAAAATTGGCCAGTTTCAGTAGGAGATGTTGAACTTTACAGAACAAAGAATTTTGACTCTATTTTTTTTTTTTTATGTTTTATACCTTTTCAAAAAACGACAAACTTGGGGACCAAACCTTTTTTTTTTATAGCCAAACTAGTCAGTACAATGTAGCAATATTTTGGCTGTTTTTGTGAGAGTGTTGAAGTTTCAGTCCTAAAATACACACAAATATATGTAACAAAACAAAGAAAACTGAACTGAGAAGTTTATGATGACTTACACTACACAATTTCAAGCGTCACCGCTTGAATCATTAGTCGTCGTACTAGACTCAGTACTAGAGCTAGTATTCGTACTAGCTCCTACTGCTGTCAACAGGTGATCTACCTCTTTCTCTCATCTGAAACTACCATCACTACCATTATTTTGCATTTCATCATCTGAATCTGAGTTCATTGAATCACATAGATTCAGAATCTCTAAAATTAGGAGCCGTTTTTAATTCGTATTGGCATGAGCATCACGTTAGCGTTTGGTCGACTTCAGCTGCCCAACGGCAAAACAAAACCCAGAAATTTTTTATTTTTTGTAGTATGGGGTTTTACGCCGCTTGCAACTGCACAAAGTCATATGAGAGTGCGAAACAAGTTGAGTTTTTTCTCAACGGTTCATTTCTCGGCTTAATACTGGTCAATATTTCTATTTAAAATTTTTTAAACGGTAAAAATCGAGTGTAAATAGGTTTTAGATTTAAATTTAAATTCAAAACAACTTTCTACATAACACTTTAAAATTTCGAACAATGTATTTCATAACTTTTCCTAATGGCCTTTATAAAATCTAAAATTCTGTGGGGAACAACAACGGAAAAAAATATCTTGTAATTTTGTGCATTTAAAGTATTTCCTTCGGGTCTCTCCGAAGTCTAGACATTCGGTTAAAAAGTGTCTAATGGTAAAATTTGTGTGGTAGGGCCGTATGTCCGATGCGTAATCGCGTAAAAATGACTTCGTCTCTTCTTGAGAGGCCCGAAGGATTTCGCAGTCCCAGTTTGAAACCCAGAAATAGAACAAAGGAAATTCGCGTTCCAAAAATAGGCAGAACTTCAAGGGAAATCATCTTAATAAAGTGAAACTGCCCTGAGTGGTCAAAGGGAGGTTACTCTAGTAATTGGGCTATGCCGTTGCCACATATGCATCGACAATTAGAAGAAATAAAGAGGAAAATACGCGACCGACAAGGGTGCGCTAGCGGCGGTGGGCCGCCGTCGCTTCTAAACCGACACAGGTGCTGCGATGGTGGTGAGTTAAGACTTTTTTTAAACCTTAGATTAAAACTCTTGCACACAGCATTTCATAAAGATCACCTATTAAATAGTTCTAATCACTTTAGACTGCTTACTTGATGTCTCTTTATTTCTTATCAAATTCACTAATCACTTGACTTCTGGAGCACCTGGCGTCTAAAATTCTACAGCAAGCAGAATATTTGGAAACATTGCCGGCTGTACTTAAACTTAGTACTTTGGTAAAAAGGAAATTTCTTTTGCGCTACATAGTATGTAGATAGACCTGCATGTGAGCCTCAACCAGATTGTCTGAAAATTTTGCGCACCCCCCCCCCCAATTAAATTGTGAGTGTCATAAAAAGAAGGACTTCCGAGGAACGAACGACCACCCGAACAAACACAATAAAGAAGAGTCCTATCCCAAACCCTACCCCTAGGCCTACCCCAAAAAAGAACCTGTAACGGCCCTCATGTAAAAAGGCCAGAACAAGTCAAAAAAAAAAAAAAAAAGCACACCCCAAAACAAACTAATTTTATGGCCTACATTGCTATAATATAAAGAGTTTGATACAATAATACAATAGAATGGGAATATGAATCCTCCATATAGTTATATTATATAGATTTAGTGATCTAAATAAATCTAGATCTAGATCTAGTGTAGAACAAGTGAATAGGAATAGGCCTCGAACGAGAAATCCGCATCCGATTCCGAACAGAGGGACTCAGCTGAGTCTAGATCTGATCTTTATTCTCAGTAAAATAATTCACGCACCTGATGATATGCGTTTTACCAACATTAATATTACAGCACAACCTAAAATAGGGTTTGACACAATAGAATTGGAATATGAATCCTCCATTTAGGTCTATAATGATCTATAAATCTAGGTCTAGTAGAACAAGTGAGTTAGACTTGAAAGAATCCACATGATCTGAACAATCAGTAAACAAACGAAATTCAAAATGGCCGCTCGGGCACCAAACTGAAAGTAGATAATTTAGGTCATCGTACTTTTTCGTATTCGTATTTCTACTCAGGTTCCAACAATTATGTCGGAAACGCCGACGTCAGCAGTCGGCCCGAAAACGAAAGTGCCGACAAAGCCGACGGAAGAAAAAGGGGGCGCTAGCAGTCGGCCAAGCCTCGCACTTCGCACATAGACTAATACAGGTGGGCCTAGCGATAGCATCGGCCGGTTCGCGGGTCGGGTCGCGATTGTCGGCAAACATGCAGGTCTATATACTATAGACATCAATGAATCAAAGGACTATTATGCCAAAGACCAAACAGCAAATCCCTGTTTTCAGTATGAGGATACAGGGATACAACACCGCCTTTGGTACAGAATACCATTTAGCCACAGTACACCCCACCACCAAAAAATTAAAATTTAAAAATGAGGTTGGAACAAACTGCAACCAGCTAGTATCTAAACAAAAATTATTACACTTGATACAACAAATCAGGTTGAGCACTTGCTGCAAATCTTGGAGAATTCTTTAATATCCATAGCATGATTTCATCTCACCGCTTCAACTGCACTTCATACCCCAAAAACAAACAAACAAACAAAAAAAGCATTCTCTTCATCGATATGAACATCAATTCAATTTCTTCCACATCCAACACATGTTGAAGCAGAAGTCCAGCATCCCACAAACCCAATGAAGTACAAAAATGGTAAGCAAAGAAAGCAGAACAGCTACTCACCTCTAAGACATTAATTTTCATTTTGGCTGACGTTTCCAAAAATGCACACTGGAACTGCCTTGCTAGATTCTGTCCTTGGTCTTTTCCAACAACTCGTTCATCCTCTAAATCACATTTGTTGCCAACTAAGAGCATTGGTACCTGAAAGAGACAAGAAGAATTTCACCAAGAACAAATGCTCAGTTTTACAAATATCGTACATGCTTTCAGATATACAAATTCAGACATTATGAACAAATTGAAAAGACAAGTGAAAAGTGTTTCAAAATGCAGTGGAATCAGGCACATGTTAATTTTTTGGCAGGTGAAGTCATTGGTATACCCTTACATCTTGTTCATTTGCCTTGCTTTTGATGAAAAAAATACCTATCTACCTTGAATAGAATCGCCTGGCTTCAACAGTAGAATAAGTGAGAAAATGACCACCAAAGTTTTGTGACTTCCAGTAAAATCCAAAGAGACATGTGTTTTAAATTGGACATAAAACCAGGCGTGAAGCTAAAAAAAAAAAAAAAAATTCCATAAAATTGCAGAACCGGCAGAAAAATGCAGGTTTCTTCCATTTCGTTATTTTGATGAGCACCTGATTTCACCATGATGCCTCATGTATTTATCTGAAATCCCACATTTATACTACACAATTGTTATCATCAATAACAGAGACCTTTTCCTTTGCTTTCATCTTTAAAAACATGCTACAGGCCAAAGGGCTAGAACTCAGATGGCTGCTGGATTGGAAAAGTAAACACACGCTGAGCTTAAGTTTCTGTCAAATTCAAGCCTAAAATTTCTCACATGCATGAAAATAACCCTCTAAAACAAGGGAGTCCTATGGTCTTAGCAGGGTTTTTTCCTCAGTGGGCACAAGATTTATCCAAATTAAGGGAAAATGATCAGCTTTGTGCAACGTCAACTAAATGTTTTCCTTTACCCCTATATAAATGCCATTGATGTATACATAAATATAAAGTTAACTTTCATTCAGACACAAATGAATCCGCATTAAACATTGCTCACATCATCTGTGTCTTTGACTCTCAAAATCTGTTGTCTCAAGTCTTGTAGATCATTGAAAGTCGACTGTGCTGTTATAGAGTACACTAACAAAAAGCCCTGTCCATTCTTCATGTACAGATCTCTCATTGCTGTGAATTGTTCCTGTCAAATAAAATAACAGCATTAGCCAAAAACATACATAAGAGCACAAATGCTTTAAACAGGCATGCATAAATGGCAGTGGATAGGACTTGCCATCTCTAATCAGAGCTCCTACTCATAAAACGCAGAGATGATGAGTTGTATCAAGACAAATAGCTACCATTACAGTGAAATCCCAAAGTAACCCCCCCCCCCAAAAAAAAATAATTAAAAAATTAAAAAATAATTATTCATTCAAGATGTGAAGGAACAATGGTTCGCATATCAGAACTGTTTGCGAACAAGTTAATAATAGTGGAAAAAAAGGCATGAATCTTGCAAATGGCAAAAAAACTAAACTGTCAGTCTTCCTTATAATATGCCATGAGAAAGAATCTGCTGTTGTCAGCTTACAGTCTACAATCTACAATTCCATGTCTAGGATGGAAGTGATTTTTGTCAAGTTGTTTTCTTCATCCCCCCACTCCCCACCCCTTTTCCCATTTCATATCAATTACAAAAAATCAAACAAACCTAACTGTTATGTGAAACAAATATTTGAAATGAAACCCAACCATAACACCAATGAAGATGACGTGTGACTCACTGTTCCTGCTGTGTCCAGGATTTCCAACATACACTGTTGACCATCTACTTCCACTTGCTGGGGGAAAAAAAAGTAGGAGAATACATCATATATTTATATTAATGGGAATGAAAGAGAAAATATGTAACCACAGGTCTTTCTTTCACTAACACTCCCGGCAAGAACTCGAATACCAATATGTAAAGTAGTGTAGTACATGCACAACACACTTTCACATATTAATTCAAAAATAGTCTGCCCGCAACATCTGACAATGACACTTTCACAACTTAGCATTTAAAAATACAATCTGTCGCAAATTATCTGTGGTAGTACTCTATGAAACTCATGGAAATAACTTGACTGTATAAACATCTCAAGGGGGGCCATCAAAATCTTGTAAAACTGTGTTTAACATTTACATCCCAGTCAAAATTGTCCAGCACGGCCACCCATTGTCCAAAAGAAAAGTGGTTGTCTTATTAAGTTATACAGTGGGTGCCTTGGACAGTATCATTATAATGAAGAAATCAATGAAAGGCGAGAAGTGGGAAGAGGTTGTTTGTACATGTGATTGTCTAAGACAGGTGGCTGTTAGAGCAAGTTCGACTAAAATGCTAAATAAACTAAACTGGGGATGCATTCATGACTCTCATGAAATGTACCAAAATGTAACTTAATTGTACGTAAAGGTTTGTGATTCTCTAAAAAGTGAATTTGACATCTATGTATTATAAATTTCAACTGAGAACCAATCAAATTTTATTTTTTTAAAATCTATAACGATGATAGTAATAACAATTATTGCATATAATGACAATATTATAATGTAATACACTGTATCCATGCTCTACAGCATGCTCTATGTGTTTTACAACTATTACTACCCCAGCAGACCCTAGAACAAGACTCGGAAACATTCTCAGCTTCCCTGGAAGCATACAGTGAAAGCTGCAGATTACATGCAATGCGCTTAAACTTTAACAAACTGTTAAGAACTTTTCCAGTCTACACCTATATACTCATTCTAACTTAAACGAAATGTGGAAAATTAATTTTAAAGTGACATTCCCAAAGACACACCAGGCCCCTGACAAAATTCAAACAAACGCATTTACACCTGAGTGTCAGAGAGCCTAATCACTAGACCATGGACACCACAAATTTAACAAAAACCAAAACTCAATACATCAGAAGGAATGGTGAGCTGAAACAAAACATGAATCAAAGAAGCAAGACAAAAGGACCAACCTTTCTGTAACTGTCTTCAATAGTAGGGTCATATTTCTCCACAAATATTCCCTGCACAAACTGCACAGTCTGAAAATCAAAGTAGGGAAAAAAAGCTTTATATAAATCTTTCATTCAGAACATACAACTTCTCACAAAAACATTTTTAAAACAGAAAAAATGAAAAACTTCCATTTCTTTTTCAACAGTGCTATTTCCCTTAATTACTTCTCCTGAAACTTACATTAAGCATTAATTTCTACTTTTAGATCAGCTGCTTGGGCCATATATATTTGTGAGGCAGCGTAATGAAATCAGGCGCTCGTCAAAATAATTTAAGTGAAGAAACTTGCATTTTTCCGCAGGTTTGTGAATTTTTATCAAATTTTTGTTTTTGGGCTCAACACCTTTTATGGCCATTACAGAACTCATTTTTGTATGGATTTTACTGAAAAACGTTGATTAAAGGCCCAAAAGATGTGAATTTTCAGTTACCACGGACTTTTAAGCAAAAGAAATAACTAATCTTTGGCGGCCATTTTCTCATTAATTTTACCCCTGAAAACAGGTGATCCCCACCTCCTTCATTCTCAAATATCTCGACTTGTATTTAAGACACACAGATATTTTTTCATCCTATCAAAGACAAGTGAAAAAAGCTTTAAGATGATACCAATAACTCTATGTGCCCAAAAATTGATGAGAGCCTGATTCCACCTCGCTGCCTCACATTTGTTAAGTTGATGAACTACAGATAAAAAGCAAAACCATAAAAGTTGCCCAGAGGGACTTAATTTTTTGTTTTAAAAAGAGGATTAAAGCAAGTGGGGATGAACTACCATCACACAAAGATAAAGAAGACCTCTTTCTCACTGGAGGTGACAACACGTTTAGGTAGCTGACCCTGGTTTAGGAGACATGAAGAAAATCTTAAAAGGCAAAATGTTTCTGAGACCCTATCAAGGATGGATGTCCAAGAAATACACCACAGTCCATATTTTGAGGAATCACTACATCGGTTTCTAGCCCAAAATAGGAAAAACCAGGGAACCTCTATTGCAACACTATTGGCTGACAAGCAAGCAATTTTAATTTTGGTTAACTCGTAAACATATTATAATAGCGGCATTTTGTTATTTGAAAATCTTTGACTCTAACACTTCAAGTAAAGTGTTCATTAGAGAGTATTTTTTAAAAGTATGAGGAAGGTAAACTAAAGCATAAATAACACAACATAATAAATTTATAATTTCTTCGGATATTTTGCCTGTCGCTACAGGTTCTAGAACGTAACCACTAGATATTTGAGGGAATACTTTAGAAAATTTCTAATGTACAGCTTTGGGGGCGCATAATTAATCATTAAGGCTTGAGAAGTTGAATATCTTTCAGTATTGACGAGCTATACTCAGCCAGAACAGAATTTTTTTCTTCACTTATTAAAGGAGAAAAATAATGTCCCAGTACAAAGACTTTCATGATGAGTTGGCTTTTTTTTTTTTTCTTAACAGGAGGAGCGACCCTTGAGGTCCATTTTCTATGTTTATAGCCCGAGATCAAATCTAAGTACACATAAGTTAGAAGGCATAGTAAAATCTCTTGATACTCAATTTTATTTTGATATAGCTAGTGGTTGCTATGGAAACGGACACCATTTTGAAATAAACAATGAAATTCAAACCCCATAAGGCTTTCTTATCTACTGACCAAATTTGGTTAGAATATACACCTGAACCAGACCCCATCAGCGAAACAGCGAGATTTTTTTGAGTATTTTCCCAAAAAGTAAAAAACCTTTTCTAAATTAAGGTCGCGTAATCGTTTGCCAATGGAAAAGTGTCTGCAAATATCTCTCTGTTACATTGATGACAGCCTTGCCATCTATGTTTCTTAAAAGTTTCATGTCAAAAGGATGAAAACTAAGGAAGGAGTAGGGAAAAAACTGCACCAAAAAAAAAGACATTTTGCGAAAAACGACAATTGTGAAAATTCACTATAATAACCCACCCTCATGTTCTCACTGGCAACTTACAAAGAGAAAGACTTTCTCAATTGTGTCCATGCTGTTTTTAGACAAAGAACTGGTTGATCTTCAAAAATCAGCCATCTTCTCAATGTGAATAGCCTGACTCAAAATCAGCAAAATCAAGGGTCGCTCCCCTTAAACAAAGTAGGTCTGAACAGGAAATTTGCCGATGGATTGAATACATTTTCTTTTACCAACATAGCATCAAGAAGCTTTGACTGCTTTGCCAGTTTGAAATCTCTACTTCAACATGAATACAAATAGAGACACAAAAGAAGGAAAGTGAGGTTAATAAACAAAAAAAAAAGCCTTTACCAAAGCACTCTTGCCGACACCACCACTACCAAGGACAACCAGTTTGTATTCTCTCATCTTGCTGAGTGTAGTGGGCGATCCTTTACAGCACCTGAGAATAAGAAACGACAGAATATTATTGAACAATATGTCAACAAAAGTAATTTCTAAAAACCTGAGCTGTAGAATTTCAATTGCTTGAATAAGGAGAAAGGCAACAGCAAGTACCATGATTTACTTAAATGAGGGGCCTCTCCTAGGAAAGGCATGATAGAACTATCCAGTCCTGCCAGTCTTGTGTACTTTCATCCTGATAAAAGCATGTTCAAGCACCCTCTCTTTCCTGCTGGTCCCTCATTAGCGCGCATAGCAATCAATCCTGTGTCATCACTTTGCCCTGGGTCCCATGAAAGTGAAGTGGGGCAAGTGTGGACCCATAAGTCTCCTCGTTGTGCTTGTTTGCGGACCTAGAAATTTCATAGGTTTCATAATGCATGGTGTCGGTACTGAAGTTGCTTATTGTTCATCCAATGAATTTTCAGCCAACATTAATGCAACCTCTTAGACACACCAGAGTCAAATGGATCCCATAAACGACATACATCCATCTTTCAACCCAAACAGTTCTCACATGTTTCAAATGAGCTTTTATAAAATTTGTAACACAAAATATTACTCCATGGTGAAATTGATTTGAATTAAGGCCAGTCAAGCAAGGTTACCAGAAGATAAAATTTGAGCAAATATAATGAAAAAAATATTTGGGGTCATCAACACACCATGGTGACCATGCATGTTCACCAGCTCAGTAGAGAGTGCCCGAATGCTTACCTGAGAAATAAAAGGTCATGGATAGAACAAGGGACTTAGAACTTAATCCACAAAACCAGAAAGATTTAACATGAAAAAACATTTGAAAATTAATTGATATTGTCTGTATACAAAATAGTGTCTCAAATGAGAGTAACCACTCGAAATTACATCAACTTATGATAAGGGTTTTTTCATGCATTTGTTACACTTGACGGCTTGAGTGTGCAATAAAAGACTGACAGTATCTGGGTGAGAATAGCGCAGTTGTAGGCCTCTCACCCTGAGGGTGAGCCTTTTTTGGCTAACTCTAACCCGGTGTGCTTTCACCGCTTAGTGCATCGGCTCAGGCCTAGGTCTACTGACAAGACCTAGGCTTACTGAGAAACCTAGGCTCAGGCCGATCACTTCGGGTGAGAGGGCGAGCCTTTTGGCTATCCTCACCCGGTGTGGGTTCACCAAGATACCACAAAACAAACGTTTCACGGCTCTTTGAAAGCCTGCAATTTTGTCGGCGGATAGTGAGTGTGTGTGTGTGTGTGTGAGAGTGTATGTGTGAGTGTGTGTGTGTGTGTGTGTGTGCGAGTGCATGTCTGAGTGAGAGAGAGAGAGAGAGAGAGAGAGAGAGAGAGAGAGAGAGAGAGAGAGAGAGAGAGAGAGAGACAGAAGGGGGGAGGGGGAGAAGGGGGGAAGGGGGAGAAAGAGATAGGGAGAGAGAGAGAGGGGTAGCGAGAACTTCTGGGCAAAACAAAATGGCCATCGGTGTAGTTCGGCTCTTTGAAGACCACCAAATTAGTTTACTTTTGTGCTATAACATCATTTTTTTCTTCGTTTTTGCCAATTTGATCATCCCCACGCCGACAGACAGAATATTCAGAAATTAGGAAGAACAGGTCTGTTTCACACCGGGTGAGAATAGCCAACGCTGGCAAGTCTCCACCGAGGTGAGAGGTCAATCATATTTTTATTCTCACCTGAAGTGAGAATAGCCACTTCCTTTCATTACAATCCCATTAAAAAAACCACACGGGAGATCTACACGGTGAAAACGCGTTTCCAGTAGTACCACTTGTAGACACGCTCTGACTGCTAAGTGACCCTGATGCCCCGTGGGGACCATTGGCATTTAAGAAGTTAGTTGAACTTATCAGACTTTTTATCCACAGATTAGAGTCGCACCACTGAAAGGGTGCTGTACAGTATACTCTCATTACAAGGCCACCTCTATTCTCACCCCGGGTGAGAATAGTGCAGGCGAGTCTTTTGGCTATTCTCACCCGGTGCGCGTTCACCGTTATAGCCTAGATCTAGGTCAACCAATTTTGCTTTCACCCTGAACCACAGAATTCTACACTGTGATAACAGAAAAATTGTAGAATTCTGTGCTGTGAACAAACGTTTCATTACTACTGTTAGCCTACTAAAAGCGTACAATTTTGTCTGTGGGTAGTGGAGAGAGAGAGAGAGAACGCGTAGTTCGGCTCGATTCGAAAAGTTAAATAGCCGTAGTATCTTTGTAGACAACCTAATTAATGTACTTTTGTGCTTTAACATTAATTTTTAACTTTGTTTTGGTCAATTTGATCGTCCACACCGATAGGCAGTATTCAGAAAGAGATAGAGAGAGAGAGAAGAGGGGAGGAGTAGATCTTGCGAGAACTTCCGGGCAAAACAAAATGGCGACCCCCGTAGTTCGGCTCGATTCGAAAAGTGAAATAGCCATAGCATCTTTGTAGTCGATAAAATTAGCTTACTTTTGTGCTATAACGTAATCTTTTCTTTGCCTTTAGAAAGCATTCCGAAATTAGGAAAAACAGGTCTTGTTTCACACCGGGTGAGAATAGCCTACGGTGGCAAGTCTCACCCGGGGTGAGAGATCGATCGTATTTCTATTCTCACCCCGGGTGAGAATAGCCACTTCCCATTACAAACCACAAGCAGGCTACAAGAATCAAAGACTCATTTTGATTTTAGCCTATGCCTATAGCATCCCTCCTTGTGAAAGGAATTGGGGGAGAGAATGTGAAGCTACCTGGTATGAAGATGAAATGAACTGTAAACTTCAAGACTCAAACTCGAGGCAAACATTGGGCTGCTTTTGACAACTTTTTGGCCTTTGGGCCGGGCCAAGAGATGGGGTTTGGCTTTGGACCTTTATTATTAGTCAACAACATAGAAAGAAGGCTAAGAAGGCTAGCCTAACTTTGAAACAATCACAAAAAATATCAAAAGGGTAAATTTACAACAATGTTTGTACTCCTAGCTAGAAACTAAAACATCTAGATTCTAGACCTAGTCCAAGGCCTATCCTTTTAAAGTCAAAGCCATTAAAATAAAAGGTCGAAGATTATCAGGAAGGGGTTTCTAATTCGAAAATTATTGTCAGTCTGTCAAAGCTGACCCTGTTCTTGATTCTAGACAGATCGCCTCTATACAAATTTCTTGCAAAATCTATGTAAAGAATCGATTCAGTACAAACATGTAATCATTCCAATACCTGTATTTGATCTAGATCTAAATGTAAACCTGGATCACCTACTCACAATGACTTTCCTGGTGCCAACGGCTAATAACTGAAACTACTGGTGAGCGATGGGCGAGTCAAAAAGTGAAGTGGAATGGTTGATACGAATTACACAGCTCAGTCAAAAGCCACACCCTTTTGTCCTCGAACTGTCTCTTTTACCAGTTACGTAGCAACTAACGTTAGGGCGTCAGTCAAATGTGATTGATATCAATGTGTTTAATGTGTGTGGGTCGAAATTTTAATACAATTATTAGTCTTGATAACCAAGGATTACTCACCGGACAAGCCCTTAGTTTTTCAACAGAAGGATGGCTTCCGGTAAAGTTGTCTGTGCTGTGACGTCAAAAATTTTTAGATCTTTCTATATTTGGAAGTGCTTCCCATCATTCTACCTACTTCCCATTTCCGATGCTTTGCGCATGCTCTGCTCCTACTTTCTTTCTTTAACCTCCTTGCCTCTGACTTCCTTCCTCCTTCATCCTTTGCTTGTCTTCGTCTTTCATTTTACTACCAGACTCTTGATCTACTACTCTTACAACTTATCACTTCTTTACCACCTACATTTCTCTACTCTTTATTTTCTATTCCCTCCTTTCACTGCCAAATAAATTACACTACTTTGATCTTATTTGATCGACTCATTTGAGTACGAGATGATGAGAACCACTCGGTGAACATTTGTGATGAAACCGGGCAAATGGTGGAAATGATGATGCAAAGGTTGAAGGATTGGGGTTGATCAAGATGTTTCTTTGAACAACCCTTTGATTCTTATGAAACCAACAACACTGATCCACTGCGTACAGATGCATATGTTTAACGGAGGATCTGTTATATTAAATTCTTTTGATCTAGGCCTACTGAGTTGTAGTTAACTAAATCCGACTAAATCGCCAACACTCTCAATTGGATAATTTATTAGGAGGTGGGCCTCGACTCTGCCTGTAGTGTCAGTGCCAAGTGCCAACCCGGGTAGAGAAGGATTCAGCATCTCAGCAGACAACAGACGGTGATATCACTGAATACGCTCGTTCAAAATGTGAACTGCAAATTCATTTGTTCAGCAGGGTTTACCCACCACTACCAGCTTGCTTTGACTTAGCTAAAAGTGCAGGTCTTCGGATCAGTGCCCCAATAACATCCGTTAGCACCTAATTACTGCTTAGGCCTAGGCCTAGTAGATCTAGCCTATTTCAACGTGTCAGTATTGTTGTGGATCCCGATGTATCAAACTTCGGGCAGATGCTTTCAGACTGCATAAATACCGTTACTACCAAGTGTCTACTGCTTTTGAAAGTAAACCCAAGAAAATGTAGGCCTAAGGCCTATATATTATCCAATGCCCTTTTTTGCCAAACTGGTGTGATATAACTCTTGAAATTAAAAGCAAACCGGTGAAGAGACATTAATGCACTGAGAGACCCACGGAGAGGACACACGCGCACACACACACACACACACACACACACACACACACACACACACACACACAC